AAAATGGAAATTATTTTGGTTTATTGCTCTGTGCCTCAGTTGGTACTGTATAATCCTTTTCTTGGCTCCGTGATATGCAAATACGTGTTTGGTAGCATATGTGATTATAATCTTCCTTCTCTGCCCATTTCTGCGTATCTCATTTATTAGCTGAATTGACACTGTGAAGAACTTGATAACTTTAATTATTTCAGTGCATGTTAACAGTCCGTAGAAAGTGTTACTCAAATGCTTGAAGTATATGAGTTTTTTTTCTTAATCTATCACACAATTCAAACAGTTGAAAAGCAAATTACAGAGCAAATCATCACGGTATATATTGACCAGGTATAGTTTTCAGCAGTTCATATTCTGAGGGTGAGGAGCGGAGACAGACAGGATTTTTCATGTTCTCAAGATCTTTCAAAGCCTGATCATTATCCCTAAATTGTGCTCCCCTGCAGAACCATGGCTTAGCCCTCAGTTTCTTGCCATAGTTACATGTGTGTTTTGTTCAGTTCAAGGTGGGACCCTGCTTCCTGTTGCATATTCGGTGTAATACAACCTTTCTTCAGCAAGCATTCTAGTTCCCTGCTGAAAGTGGATATTCTTTGTCTTAAGTACATGAGTTCAATTTCTGGAGAGCCAAAATTTCTTCAAAGCCTTGTGAATTCACAGTAGAGGCTTCACTCTATCTTAAATGTGAGATGTGGTGCAATTTCTAACTTTTTGTCTGAAAGCTTTTCAGATTGTAACAGCTATTGTAAGTGTTAAGAGGATCAAAGCCAGAAACTCTCCAATTGGATTTGGACCACAGGTGAACGTGCTACGAGATTTCCAATACAGACCCATGTATGTCTACTAGGGTATGCTTCACTCAGTCACTTGGAACTCTATGTATATGTGTAATATCATTGGGTTTTCTAAGATTGGGCTCAGTGAGCTGGTCTTTCAGCCTCTTTCTCCTGATCTCGCTTTCTGCTTGACATTGCTATAATAAACTGATAGACAGTTTGCCTTTGATGTCTTCCTGATATGCATGTTCCACAGCTTGTTTCACACTCTGTTTCTGAGTCCGGAAATTCTGTAGTATACAGGAAACCAAAGCACAATAGATGCACTTTGCCTTTTATATCCTTAGAGGAGTTTTTTCTCTTGTGCCTCATTCATATCCATCTTTTGAGCCTGTGATACTAATAAGTCTTAGGAGCAACTCTTGTGAAATAAGGATAACTGTTAACACCAACTGCTGAAAATTCAAGTGCTATAAAGAAACTTCCTTGTTCAAAAATGAAAGTTTCTAAACATCAATACATTATGTGGAGCCAATTAGTGAAATGATCATGGTATTCCACATGATTCTAGCTTCTGCTAAGTGTAATTAAGCATCTGATGCCCGATAGATCGTTACATAATTTGGTTGGTAGATGAGATGTCTGAAATGAATGCTTCTCAGAGTTCAGCGTTATAATGAAGTCTGGAACCACCATCCCGGGTGCACAGCTTTTGCTCAGCACAAGAGCACAGCACTCAGATCTTGGGCTGCTAGCCTTCTGAAATACAGCTTGGAAGTCCTAATCCTTTTAGCTGGCAGTCTTTGCCATACACTCTTTAAGTAACAAAGCCAAATGAAGTTTAGCATAAATATAGTTATACATTTATATCTATTTTTTACAGAGTATGAAGGAGTCCCCAAGCTATTACAGTGAAAGCATACCTTTTTGCATTTGTACTTTTTTGTTTGTTTGTTTGTTTGTTTTGGAAAGGAAGCTATTCCATGAATAAAATGTTGGGTTGTGATCAAGGAAACAGAGGTTTTTCTCTTAACAGCCACTGTGGTATAATGCATGTAAATGTAGAGAGAGTATCAGGTTACTGTGGTAAAACACCAGATTTGTTTACATTGCAGTTGTCAGAGCAAATAACTTTTAAGCTGATTTATTGATGGTAAATTGTCTGAGCTCCTTGAAGATGTGGCTAGCTTAGTAGTACTTGAGATGTTTCAGTATAATTCAGTATTTAGCCAAATACAAGGAGTAGTGATACAGAGGCAAGTGGGGGACAGGAGTTAGCAGAAACCCTAGGGAGAGGTGCCAGGATTTCTCAGTGGCAGAACCATCACCCGCACAAGCCCAGCACTGCCTGCCTCCTGAGAGCATGCAAGCCACTGCAGAAGCAGCACAGGCCCCGCTTACCTGACCTTTGCAAACCACGCTGGCTTGGAGAGCTTGGCCTGAAAGCTACAGACCCTTTGTGAACATGCTTCTCATGTTCTGAGCCATGGTGGAGCTTCCCAAAACTTGGATGACAAAGGCACAAGGCCAACAGCAGAGGCAAGCTTTTCTTGCTTTGTGTTCTTCCTTAGATGTAAAATCCCACTTGTAAACTTTATTCAGGAATCAGTTCTGATTGAGAGTTATCTTGGGCCTGGGTGTGAATGCACAGCCTGCTTGCCATTCCTGAGGAACTCTGCATGTCTGCACTAAATGCAGACTAAGGGTGTTTACAGTGGACAAATCTATATTTAGACAAGCCCTGGTGGCAGCTTAACATACTTAAAATAAACCTGATCCATTGTGGAATCTTCCTTTCCTTTTTGTCCTTCCACTAACTGACTTTGTCTTGGAAGCACAAAATTAAAATAGACAGGCTTTTGGGGACACTTCACAGGCAGTTAGAGAGAAATTGTGAATTCCTTTAGAATGTGCTATGTAACCAACCATAAGCATAACTGCAAAAATGCAATATGATTTGAAATCTCAGCCCAAGATCAGGCTAAGGGCAGTACTGGAAATAAGGCTACATCTTACCTGGCAGAGCTGGATTGTACAGGGAAAAAAAATTGACAACATTTGTATTGAAATAATGAGATTACATTGAGAGAAATTTAGGTCACCAGCTGTTTCATGCTGTTCCTATTAGCCTCTCCATTTCATTGACAGAAAATAAATGCCTTCCTTGGTATTTTAATGTAGTTAACTAAGTGAGGGGAAAGCTAACTCAACTCTATTAAATGAACTTAATACTCTAGCAAGATGAAAAGGGTATGCCTGTAGTCTACAGGAGATAAATACATCATGCTGCTTCCTGCCCTGATCAATGGGTGCCATTAAACTTCTTGCCACGCTGTGCTGGCAAGGTGTAGATGAATTGTTGGTGGGGGATAAGCAAACAGTTTCTGAGGGGCTGTCTCCAGTGTTCATGCTGTACCTGGTACAAAAAAAAAAAAAAAAAAAAAAAAAACACAAAAACAACATGCCTTGTAGTACCTTAACAAAAATACATGCCTTATAGTATGCTGAGATTGGCATCTTTTTGCTCTGTAGATGAAAACATCCACTTGGACCATTTTCACAGAGGCTGTTTTAAATTGTCTTTAAAAGCCATCCACCAGAGAGGAGCTGAGGATTTCTAGAGCATGCGACTGACACAGTATTGTACGCTCAGAGACCCAGTGGGAAATCAGCAGGCGTGTGATGTGGTTGGTAACAGCCCTCTCCGCGTCATGTGCTTGACAGGCAGATGCTGGAGATAGTGCTGTGTAACAAGCGTGTCATTATTTTCTAAAAGGACCTTCTTTAATGCATTTTTACCACCTTATCGTGGCAGCCTCTGACATGGCCCTGTTACTGTAGCGGTCAGCCATGGGTTTGGAGCATGGGACTAGAGGAGATGTTCTGGTACTTGCTTTGTTCTAGCTGATGCTGCTTTTCAGAAATAGTAAAGATCTAGTTCTTTATTTTCTGCTAAACACATTTTTACTTTCAGCAGTGGATTAAAAGAGGTCTGGTATTCCTGAAATTCCTATTTTGAAAACAAAAAAGCATAGGTGGTGTAAACCAGTCTGCCTCCCTGTAGTTAGGGAAACAATTTATATGCCCTATGTACAGTAGCTCAGGAAGAGGCATAATGTTTAGAAAGGGCAAAGATATTTTATTTTCTTATGAAAGGTATTTTCTCATAAAAGTTATTTGCTGTGAAAGTGAATTATTTGTATATTGTGTTTTTTTTTAACACACAGATACTTTCACTGACATCTGTTTCTCTCATGTAGCTGTACTTGCATGTATTAGATTTGTTCCTATCTGAGACAGCTGTGATCCTCACCTTTCTTCCATAAAGAATCCTCTTCCAACCTGTAAAGAATATTCATTCTTTTCCCTAAAACAATGAGTACACTCTGAGCTATCCTAGTCTTACCTGCTTTATATTTTACTGTGAGGGATGCTTTAATGAGATGAGTGCCAAGTGAGAAGATGGGGTAGAACATCAGACAATTTTTGCATCTCAGTAAAAATAGTGCTTGTGGCATATACTGACACTGAGCTCAGCAAATTTATGGCTAACATAGAGGCCATGAGAAACCTATGCCATAAAAATGTCCTTCTTTGCATTCACTGAGAGTGAGGGCTATGGAAAAATAGAACTGATACATTTCTTTGGTTGGAGATGTAGCACTGTAATTTTATATCCATTTTACACTCTTAGCAAATGTGCTTCATGCTGCCAGCAGTTGTTTGTCATTTCACATGCACTATTGTATTTAGTTGAAATATAAGTGATTTTTAAAAATTGTCTTAAATGATTTTTTTTTTCATGATGTTGTAATACATAAATGTTATTATTTAAGGAACCCAAATAGTTCCTTTATTGGCTTAGAGAATGAAAATACATGGGGCAGATTTATAAAATAACATTATCTCAAAGTTGTTGTAGTTCCCTAGTTTATTACAACAAATTTACTAAGCAAGTTTACTTCTGAAATCTTCAGAAGATTTGCATGCCTTTCAACTAATGCCTTTGCATTAGTTGATTGCATTGCATAGCAAGAATATTTAAATGAGCAGTAAGATAAAATTGCTTTTTTAGATACCTCTTTCGTGTAATCTTTCCATGGCCTTATTACGTATATGTTTGGTGTAAGAACCAAAACAAAACGCAACTCTTATAGTAATGCAAAAATAACAAAAGAAATTATATTTTTTTCAAACTAAATTACTTGTATATTTTTTGTTACGAGTTTTGCAGAAGGTTTGTAAATGACATTTATTTTCCACATGTATTTTTTGAAGACTTAGAAAACTCATTTATCAATCAGCATTTGGAAGTATGCAGACGAACAGTTCGTCAGACAGCAGTTAGCCTGGTGACAGTTCATCTGAACAGCTGCTCTTGTCCTTGTTACGGGACCTCTTCAGACGACTGTGGTGCGGATGCCTTGCACTGTATGTTGGCGAGACAGATGTGGTGGTTTTGCTGCTGGATCTGCATCTTTGTGGTGTAAGCAAAGTTTCTCGTCAGCACAGCCCTGATGGCACTAGGGGGTATTGTAGCACCATACTGGCAACTGGGAGGAAATCTCAATTCTTTTCAGCTTAAGCAATCTTATTCCCTGTCACACAAATCTAAGAGAAAGTGTAAAGATACTATTTGATGTGGCCAAACAGCACCTGACAAGCCTTTTTTTTTTTTTTTTTTTTTTATTTTGCATCTTGCATGTAGGGTTAAATTATAACAAATGACTGACCTTTAGACTCTGTAAGTTCACAGTTATTAATACATCTGCTTAAATTAAACTGTAGTCAAACTTCTGATTGCTTTCCTCACCTATTTTTTCCTTCAATCATTAATGAACATTGTTCACAAGCAAGTAAAAACACCCAAGCAGATGATGAACTTTGGACATATTAGCATGGACCTGTTATTCCAGAATCTCACCTCTTCTTTTGCAGATTGTGTGAAGACTGCAAATGTACAAAAGGATGCTTCACAATCTGGACCACAGGTTACAGGACAGTAACTGATGAATTATTTAGAATCATTTTATGTTTTGAGATTTTCCTCTGTAGCAGATCATGCACCTTCTGAAAACAAAACCAAATGAAACAAACAAAAACTTTCAACTGAGGCATTAATTCATTTTTAGGCAGCTTTGGGTTATTCAGCTGCATTCATTACCTGAGAAGGACCCCTTCCAGGGCACATGCATGAATACCCTCTAAATTTCTTCTCTGTGCCCTCAGGAGCTGCTGCTGCTGCACCATCTGCAGAATAGAGAACATTTCTAGATCATCTCTATGCTGATACAGCTGTAGGTGACCTAAAATTACACATCCTGTGACCATGCTACACCAAAAATAAGGTAATTTTTTAACTAGGTGTTGCTCTCATGCCTCGCCATGTTACGTGACTGTCTTTGTCCTTTGGATTCTCAGACCCAAGAGGCTGGGGGAGGGAGAGATTTATTGGCATTATTCAATGATTCCCTCCATTTTCTGTTTCTAAAGTAAGGTTTTAAGAATTCTTCTGGTGATATGTGGGACAAAAGCATGGTTATAAAAGATGCAGCTGTGGCACTGTTACAATTCAATTGCCTTTGAAGGTCCTTTAGGAGGGTTTCTGATGTGAAGAAATTTAGAAGATTAATCAGTAATTTGAGAACTAAGCCAAATGGCCATTGCCAAAATACTGTAGTCTGTGAGCAGAAACCTGGAGTTGGAGGGAGCTCCATTGCTTGTTATGAAACCAAGGACAAAGGACACACAGAGGGGGGACTATTTCCTCTTGTCTTTTGTTTCTATGGCCTGTTTTCATGGGTCTGTTTTTTTGCCAGCAAGACCATTCTCTCAATTATGGTATGCACTTGACTGGCGCACACACACATGAAAAACAGAGTTAATTAAAAGCAGAGGACTTGCCACCAAAAGGGCATCCAGAGAAGTTAAAACAAAGCAGTTAGGATCATTCGAATTCTAATGTGGGTTTTCTCACTCAAGTCCAAAGCTGTTTGTGATCTAAAGTTGGTTTGCATCTGCCTAGGACTGCTTCTTCTGCATGAAGATCCAGTATATTTCCATGTATGTTGTGACTGATGCACCTTAACTCTTCTGAATGCTCCTCTACAGGTAAACCGCTATTAACTTTGATGCAGGTGTCTCTGATCAGCTACTTGAGAACAAATATTCTTCTTCATCCTTTTTTTTTTTTTTTTTTTTATGCATATAACCAGTTTTGGTAGAATGAATTGTCCCATGTTTAACTTTAACCTGCAACTTTGTTTTTTAAGCTTCTGCAGAATTTAAAAAGCAAAACACTTCTGCCAAGTGTTCTGTGTTTCTCCTCTGTCTTCTCCCTAGGTTAAATCTTATTTATTTGTTTTCCCCTACCTCAACCAGTTTTCTAGACCCCAATCTTTTTTTTCCTTTTTTTTTTTCCTTCCCCAGTTGGTTACCCTTTCTCCTGTGAGATGCCCCCCTTTGAACCGCATGCCAGCTCAGGCCTTCTCCCTACAACCATGTCTCAGAAGAGACAGAAGTGGGTGTCGAGTTTATATTGTACAGCAGTCACTCCTTCTAGTAGCAAGTAGTTTTGCTGAGGCACATTTAGGCACTTTAAAAGACACATTACGTTAATGAGCCTTTATAAATGGTGCACGGAGGCGTAAGGCTGGACTGTAGCTCCGAAAGGGGAATTAATGCCCTGCGCCGGCTGCAGCTGCCAACTGCAGGGCTGGAAACGCGTCGAGTAGCTTCAGGCTTTCAGCAAGCTCCGTGGGGACGCTCCCCTTGCCACCTGCAGCTCGTGTGGAGGCCGGGGCCAACCTGACCGGGGCAGGGCGGGTTCTGGGGGCCGTGAGGCGCGGGGCTTCCCGCCCGCCTCGGCAGGAGCCGGGCCCGGCGCCGCACCCTGGGGCTGCGCCTGAGGCGAGGCCGCCCGGGCCCTGCGAGCAGCGGCGGGGCCCGAGCCGAGCCGGGAGCGGCAGCAGCGGGGCCGAGGCCGGGCCTGGTGCCGGGGCAGCCCCCGGCGGCTCCTCCTCCCGCCGGGCTACAACCGGTTCGTGCCGGCACCGGCCGCGTCCCGCCCCGCCCCGCCGCGCCGCGCCGGGGATGCGGGGCTGCCCCGGCTCTGCGGGGGCGGCTCCCGCCCGCCGGCCCCCGCCGCCTCCCCGCCGCCGCGGCGCGCAGGTAACCGGGGACGGCGCCGCCTCGGGGGCCCCGGGCGAGCAGCGGGGGAGCAGCGGGGGCGGCCCGGCCCCCGGGGGAGCGGCCGGCGGCGCCTCGTGGCCGCGGAGGGGGCTGCGGCCGGGGCCGGCGGGAGGCGCCGCGGAGGGTGGCCCGGCCCCGGGCGTCGGCGGCCCGGAGGCGCTGAGGGGGCTCCGCGGGGCGCCCTGCGGAGCACGGGCGTGAGGGGGCCGAGCCCCCCGGGGCACCCTCCTCGCCCCCGGCGGCCACGGCAGGTGCCCACCGACGCGTTGGTGCCTGCCGAGAGCGCCCATCGCTGGCCGAGCGGGTGCCCGCGGGCACCATCCCCTGTGGTGTGTGCGGCAGGTGCCCGCGGCTGCGCCTCGCTGACGCCCTCAGCACATCGCGGGCTCCCCTCGGTGTCTCGGGGGGCAGCCCCTCGGCGCGTTTGCATGGCGCTGGGTGCTGCAAGAGGAGCGTGCCCGGGGATGGCCCTTCGTGGCTTGTCGCCCCGCTGTGCAGCACAGCGCCCGTCGCCAAAACAGGTCTGGGGCAGGAGGCGTCGTGTGGGACTTGGCCCTTGGGCAGCGGGCAGGCCCCCGGGGGCGTGGGAAGGGGCAAGGCGAGAGCCGGGGCCATAAAAGCGCATCTGTCCCGCACAGGACCTGGCTGAGGGGCGCAGACGGGTGGAGAGAGCGGACGCCAAGCGGAGCCCTTGCAGGTTGCGCTGCGTGAGGCGCGCTGTGAGCGCATCTTTGCAGAGGGCTCTTCTGCTGAACTAGCTGGTGGGTGGCTGATAGCAACGCTGGCTTCCATCTGTCTGTATCGATGCGTGCTAGTGTCTGACAGCCAGTTGTGCTCGCAGGGAGGTTTTCCATCCCCTCTGGGGCCGTGAGGCTCTGAAAACAGGTAGGGCTGGTTCTGCTGAGCTGACGGATTTATCCAAAGCTGGCTGCTTTGCGTGCTGCTCTGATTGATGCTCCTTTATGTGAACTTACTTTGCGCAATGGGAAGAAGTTATGTTTTCAGGAAGTTTTGTGCTGGTGTTTTGTTTTAAACTCCGTGCTGCTTTTCTTATCGGGCAGAAACGGGAGGAAACGCTTATGTTGATGAGCCTTCTCTGTAAGCTACAAAAGGAAAATGAGAGGAATATGAGAAATTTTTAGACCTGAATGCTGACAACTGAGGGGGAAATGTGTGTTCAGTGTAAAAGTACTTAAAGACAAATATTTAAACATGGAGAGCTGCTGTTGTTAGAAGATCAGTTAAAGTCTGATGTCATCAAAGTACAGGTGTGTCTTTTTCAGTGCATTTAACAGAGTGCCTATGCTTGCTGTCACATCTGTATGTGTGCAGATGTGCAGCAGGTCTTGGCATGCATGCGTTAGGGGTAGCTGTAGTGTGCTGCTGCTGCTCTGACGCCCTAGGTGTTACTGACAAGTTAAGTGTAGCACAAACTTCTCATGATAATTGTGAGAATGTTGACTGAAGAATAAATGCAAACGTTTGTGAAATCTAATGCACTTTACTATGGGAGATGTTACTATTCTGCCTAGTACTGTCTTAATTTGTACCAGTGCCTTGCAAAACTGGAAGAGCTGTTAATCACCCAGTGATTCTGCTGACATCAGCTTTCTTTGCAGCCATGTGCTGCTCATAGAAACCAGCATACTTAACGAGGCTCCAGTTGCACAAATAACAAACTCAAAACAATCGTTTTGCTACTTTCTTTCTCAAGATTCCCTTTGCCACAGATTAATACAAGTTTCTGTGCTGAGGGCTAATGTTTCGGTCATAATTGTGTTCTCTAAGCCAATTCTTTTTTGTGTGTGTGCTCATCTGTCATCTTTAAGCTAAATTTTAACATTTATAGAAAAAGAGCTCGGTGTTGTGATAAAGCTGATTATATAAAAGAAAGCGGTTACAGCATGACACCACTATGTTTCTGTGTTAAAACTGTTGTTCAGTTCTCTAGTTTTTTTTTTGTTTTGTTTTTGTTTTTTTTGTTGGTAGAGACTTTCATCAGACAGCTCTCTTTCTCTGATTCTTATTCGCTGTGAGTACAACTAATTGAAAAGCTTTTTCTAACCAAGCTTCAACTTACTGTTTAATTCATTATGCTTTATTTCTCCATTTCTCTGCTTTTGAAGTGCCTAGGTTTCCTGGAGTCCGAATCAACATCCTTATGTTTTGTGAACAGTTAAGATTTGTGAAATGATTCCCACCTAAATCTTAAATCTGCAGTTGTTTGTCTCTTTCCAGGATCACACAAGTCTTCCTTGTCCGTTGAGCTCTCTTATGTATGGGCTTCTGCTGTTTTATTTTTGATGTTTGTCCTCCTTCCAGCCAGAGACAGGCAATAGTGAGAGGCACTTTGGATCCCTCCCAGGTAGATGCGCAGACTAGATGCACGTCCAGGCAGTGCTAGGAGTAGCGATGGTTTAGTTCCTACTGCCAGCTCTTGTTCATCCTGTTAAATTTTTGTACTGCGGATTGTTACCTGCAGGGAAGTATTAAACAATGTAGCAATAAAAGGTACATTGATATCCATAGTCACAGTAACAGCTTGCTTGACTGGGACACCTTTAACAGTGTACCATAGCAGAGGGCTCCAGGGAATGGGCTCCTCACACAGGGCTCTCAGCTCGCATGCGGTCTTCAGTAGGACTTCATGCTTTTGGGAATGTTAGAAAATACACCTTGTTTTAGGTAGCAGACACACAGCAATGTGAGATAATGGGGCAGTCTGTAAGAGCAGGAAAGAAAAGCCAGGTCATGGTGGCTCATAAAAATGACTTGATAGATCATTTTTTCACTTCAAGGACGATGTGTGTGGGGGAAGCTGTGGTGAGTTTTACTTTGTGCTTGATGATTACATTCCCTAAATGGCTTGAAGTGTTTAGAAAATAGAGCTATTTTTGCTATCTAAAAATCTGTTAGTTTAGCTAAAAGTTGTGAAACATCACTGCTGTGCGAAATAGGAGGCTTCAGGATGTAGAAGGTCAGCTCTTTTGCTGCTGTAACTTGACAGAGCTCTGTTAAAGTCAGTGAAGCTATGCAGACTTGCAGCAGATGAGGAACTGATCCAGATGTTTTTTAAGGTCTATTAGAAAAGACTACATGACCTCAGGCTATGAAAACTTTTTTCATCACCTGCCCTGCCCTCCCTTCCCCACTGAATGTTTAGAATAGCAGAACTGAATCAAGGGTTATGTCTGTGGCAAATTATAGAGTGTCAGTATAATGGAAATCAATATAATAGCTAACATGTATTTGTCTTCTAAACATTACTTTTTAAACAACTAGAAGTTGGGATTATTCACTGTATTCTGTTATTTTAGTGGCTTTCTGAAAATGTCCTTGTTTTATCTCAGTAAAACTGTCTTTTCTTGAAACTGTTACTTATTTCCACCACTTTTACTTCAGTCAGGGACAAAACAAGCCAAGTGACATGTATTTATTGCAAGGAGAGGTGCATATGCCCGCTCTTTTGGTGACTAGATATGTATAGTCTAAATATCTTGTTTAGAGATGAAGGATCCCCTCGTGATCCTCTTTTGTATAATTGTAAGGGTTATTTTTGTAGGAAAGTACCTATAAGCAGCTTTTTAATGCTTTGATGCCTTAAGGTATGTCCTGATATCTGTCAGCTGTCACCTTGGCACCTAATGTAACCAAGGGACAATTGCCAGACATTTGAAGAAGTAAATCAGAACTTAGATTTATAGCTGAAAGAAAACTTCAGAACATTTGTACCTGGAATACTGTATCTTGAAGGACTGTCATTATGTTAAAACCATAAATCTTTCCCCAGAGGACCAAGAACATCAAAATTTATTTCATGTTAGTAGGCTATGTTTTTGTTATTTTGGTGCTCAAGGCTGCTGTCAGCTTTTGATTAATTGAGGGAGGATCAGTATTTCTCCACTGAGGTAATTTGATAACATGAATACTTCTGAAGTTCCTTTGAAAAGATGTTGTTTTCACCGTTGCAGTGATACTTCGGCTGAAAACTTGCTTTGCTGATCTTTTTTTACAGGTAGAGTTGCCACCTGAAGCTACATCTGTAGGGGGCTAAGGGACGCGTGGTGTGTCGTCATCTGTGAGTATCTACCCCCAGTGTATCGCTTAAGTGTATCCTTTTTCATGTCTCTATAGCAATTATTCCTCAAAAATTTATACTGTTATACTGCAGCTTTTTTTTTTTTTTTTTTTTTTTTTTTTTTTTACTTTTCCATGCAAAATTGCCTGTGTGGAGTATGGGCAGCTTGAATTGAAGTTCTGTTGTTATCTTCTCATTTATACAATTGCTTTCATAGAGCAGTCGTTTTTTTTCCTTTCCACTGAAAAGTTGAAGAGCTCCCAGCTCGTCACAAACAGGCAGCAAGACTTGTTTATTTTTCTGCTTTGTCTCCTGGGATCTCCCAGAGCAGAACTGTTACTGCAGCAGTCTTAATGCACACTCTGCAGTGTGCAAATGGTCCTTGAGAACATTTCATGAGAAAACTGGGTAAGATCTTATCTGTCTCTATCCTACAGGATAAAGAAAATAAAATGGTTGAAAATCATACATCTGGTTAGTTAGAGAGCCAGGAACAGAACATGGGTTTTGTGATCATCAGTTCAGCAGATTGCTCCCTAAAGAGAGGGAGGGCAGGTTAGTTTCATGCAAGGGAACTCACGTATCACGTATTCAAACTCCAAAGTAGCTTAGCCTGGGAACTTCTGAATTCTTCACTAAAAGTTAGAGGTGCCAGTCTGTACATTCAGAAACTACTCTTGAGAAGGTGAGGACAGTCGGTTATTTAAAGTTGTAGATGAACCAATGATGGATCTTGCCATGAAGCAGAGTAGATAGTATTTACGGAGCTGAAGAAGTTAGTGTCAGTTTGGTGAAGGTGGTGATATGTGAAAACTGTGCAGAGGGCAGACACTGTAACAGCTTGTAAGAGATTTTTGTATGCCTGTTTAATACTGTCATGTCTTGCCATACAAGCCAGACCTGTATACAGTTTTAGAACTCACTTTATTTACTTACTAACATGTTCAAAGTGTTCTTGGAGGCATCACTCCTCTATATGTCACTTGGTCAACAGTGAAATTTTGAACTGTAACTGCATCCAGAATGTCAGTAGTCGTCTTCTTAGCCTGCCCCCCCAGAGTATGCTATCTGGTTGCAAATGCATTGTGAAAATGCATACTACTATGCTTGAAAATGGAATCAGAATTAAGTAGAGGTTTTGTTGTTGCTTTTGGACCTTGAAATAATATTTTTATACTTGTGATTTTTTTTTCAGACCCGAATTATTTATTGGGGTTGTTTTATACTTGTAGCTTTTCTTGTCCTTTGAGCCTATATTTACTTTGCCCAGGATGGTGGCGCAGCTGGTGGCCAAGTGCTTCTCTTGTTGCACTGTGCCATATACTGATGCCATAGGTTTTCAAATAAGCCTACTTAACACTCAGAAAACGAAATGTCCCCCCTTTCTGTAATACAGTGCTGATGTTTGTAGGACATACATCATAGTGCAAGAATAATGCGTGAAGCTGAAAAGGTAGAAGTAACAAATGGTAACTGATCCTTGTTGCTGCATGCTGAATTTTTGATATTTCTTGAAGGTTGCTCGGCAATGTCTCACTTGTACAGCTCACTTGTATTAGCAGACCTAGGTCAGTCACATGTCTAATGCCCTGTTCTGTCTGTCTGTTTTCTGTTTGCACAGGGTTCATCTGTACATCTACACTCATCTGACAAGATGGTGTTTCTGAAACCACCCGATGGTGGCTGGGGCTGGGTGATTGTTGTCGTTTCCTTCTTTACTCAGTTCTTATGTTATGGATCACCACTGGCTGTTGGAGTCTTGTATTTAGAATGGCTGGATGCTTTTGGAGAAGGGAAAGGGAAGACTGCTTGGGTTGGATCACTAGCAAATGGAATCGGATTGCTTGCCAGTAAGTATAGATAGATACAGTATTTATCTTAAAATGATATGATTCCTTTCTAACAGATGCTTTCATCTGTGTGTACTTTTGGAATAATATTAAAGACAGCTGCAAATGATGAAAGAGAATGAGGGAGAGTGCGTTTTTTGTTTTAGGTCAGGATAGGTAAGAACATTGCATTTATAGTTCCACTTCCACTATACATAAACCACAGCAAAATGGTAAAAGAACAATAAAAACGTTAACCTCAGAAAATTCAAAATAAATGTATTTTAATAATCTGGAAATACCAAACTGTGTCTGAAAAGCTGAACAGTAATTTTGTTGAAGGGATTTTTTTTTTTATTTAATGAGACTTTAAGTAACATTCATATTAGTATCTTTAAAAACAGAGCAAATTCCTATTCTGAAATGGCTTGAGTGCTCCAGGCAGGAAGTTCATGCTGAATGTGAGAGGTCACTTCTTTACTGTCAGGGTGACAGAGCACTGGAACAGGTTGCCAAGAGAGGTTGTGGAGTTTCCCTCTCTGGAGATATTCAAAACCCGCCTGGATGCCATCCTGTGCAACGTGCTCAGGGTGATCCTGCTTGGCAGGGGGCTGGACTAGATGATCTTCAGAGGTCTTTTCCAACCGTGGCCATTCTGCGATTCTGTGGGAAAAAAAAAAAAAAGTCAGTTAACAAACCAGTTACTCATTCTTCAGCGCTAGAAATAAAATCACCAGTTAGGGTGGGTGAGGGTTCTTTTTCACTGTTTGTTTCAGGGGAAGAGAACTGCTTTTGAAGCCTGTAAAGTTATGGATAATGGTGGCATTAAATAAAACTTTACTGAAAGCTTTTCTTTAGTAAGACATTGTTACTTGATGAAAAGGAACAGCAGGAAAATTAAACACTGTAAAAGTCCATAGGTCCATTTTGCTGTTATTGTTTTAATATTGAGCCATGGGTATTTTACTGGGTAACATCACTAACTTCTGCTTTTCAAAGATTCACCATGGGAACTATTATCTTTTTGCTGAATGTGGACAAAAATTGCCTGTCAGCCCAGAAATTGCTGTAGGCAAAAGCAATTAAGTAACTTCAGAATTTGGTTCAGGATTCTGAGGAAATCTCTCCTTTAGACAGGTTTGATGTTCACATCACAATACGGAACTGAATAAAGGCCACTGCTTTGTATGACTCTAAAAGGCCAAATACTGGTGCTGCTTTTGTGCTGGGGATTTATATCACTAGGCAGAATAGAAATGGGCAAAGGCAGGTGAATCATTAACCACAAGAAGACTATATTCAGTCCTAGGGTGTAAGTGGGCTAAGGTCTGTAGACTGATCTTCTGTCATACATTTCTATTTTCATGCTTTAAGTGCCTTAACTCCCATTATGAAAGAATTAAAGCCTAAATAAACTTGAGTGAGAGAATGAAGTAGGAGAAGAAGTCTAAACAAGACAGTTACTTTAGAAAAACTAGGCAGAAGGGGATTGCAAGAGAAAGGGTGAAGAAAAACTTTTCCTCTGGAGACCAGAAGTCTCTGGCTCACTCTCATAACAGCCTCAGTCCCTTTCCTCATATGCCAACACCATGGTGAATTCCAGATTTTTGAGTTCTCTCTGCCTTGCCTCTCTCAGTATTGTACTTTATAACAAATGGAAACTTCTGTGACCGAATGATACAAGTAGAAGATGCTGTTGTAATTCACTTTGTTATGGAATGATCAAATTGCTTGAAATTTTGACAGAGGACTGGAGGAACACTGTCAGCGTGATTTAATTCTTTTAGTTTGGGGTTTGAGAGCTTAATAATTTGCAATATTAATTCAAATAAAAGTACAGACAGGGCCTTTTAATTGCATTGATGTAATCAGAGTTGACTGAAAACAAAATATGTGTTCCCTGCTCTATCTTAAATGGAAGATTCCCCTCTCTTGCCAAGGTGGGATCTGACCTTAATGATAACTCTACTTGCAGTAATCTTGTTGGAGGGACAGTGTAAATATTATAACCTTTTCTGAAAACTAGAATGCTTTTGACAATTTATGATTTTGTGTCCTGCTGGTATACTACTGTACTTCTGGAAAATTCCCCCAATACCCTTTACGTAGTAATATTTAAAAGTTAATGCCATGGGACTGATATAAACACAGTAATTAGGTTTACTAGTTGATGTGGGCGTACATAACAGGAAATAATGAAAAAATCCTATTGCTTTCTCATGAAATCTTTTGTCTTGAGGGAGTAACTTTTAACTCTGGTAGTAAAAGCTGTTTATTGCAAATAAAGACTTCATGGAGGAAGTTTAGCAAGGACTAAAAGAGTGAAATTGATGCTCTTTAATATGTGTCTATGAGAACGGGCAGAAGAATGGTTAACTTGCGAAGGAATGGACTACTGATATCATATCTTCTATTCCCTCTCTGTGGGAGATCTGTTTCTCTTCCCATGCGGTGCAAGAAGGATGCATTAGTGGCAGTCACTAAGAAGCTCATCAAAATGCTTTCATGTTGTGTTAAAAGTGACCTGAAAGACTGCAATTCTCTAAACGTTTTTTTATTGAAGAGCAGTTCATTTAGGATCAGTTACTACTAGAGAGCACATAAAAAGATATGGTTATTTAATTCTTTTTATTTCTACAAATGTCTTGATCATTCACTGTGTTAGAATTCAAAGGGCCGCAGTAGATCAGCCTTCTGAATTGGTACAGGGAGCATTTTCAGCCTAGCTTATGGAACATTCAGTCTCTTACAGATTGTTTTTCATGCAGTTTTCATAGCAAGTTTGTTTCAGACATAGTCACTAGTGTCAAGAACATGTGTTTTTAGTGCAAAAATATTGGTATAACACACTGCAAAGTTAGACCCTTTTCATGAATATGGAAGAGGAGAACTTGTTTGTGTTCTCATATCAGCTATTGCATGTTTAGTATTGCAGGCCAGATGGGATCATTCTGTGTTGTAGCCTCTGATGTTAAGTAGATGATCAGGCTAATTGATCTTTTTTCTAAATTAGCATATTTTCATGTATGTGAAAAGGTGCAATCTACAACGTAGTAATTTAACAATCTCCCCAAGCAAGCTGATTTCATCAACAGAATTGCTTCTGTGAATTGCTTGCTAGTGACAGGACAGCTTTACCTCAAAGCCTTTCAGTAGTCCCTTTGCCTCTTACTGTTCCTTACTTCTGCTATTTCTTCTTCCTTTCCTTCTCCTTTATTTTTATTTTCAAGTACCGATCTAGTCATTTGTAGACATATTTTCAAATATTGATACTTCTAAAGTGATCCATGTTGCATGCAGAAAAGATTGTAATTCTCATTTGAATTAGAAAGTGTTTGCTTAGTGCATTCTTCATCTCTTACAACTTTACCTGGTAGTTAATTGCCTCCTTAAAAGCATGTAATCTTATGATGGACGTTGCTTGACTTTAATTTTCAGCTGAAGAACGAGTTTATCTTTAAGTGGTATATTTGAAGTGTCCCTGAATAAGCATGGTGTGTGTCTGGAGACTGCAATCAAATTACTTTTAAGTTTTCTTTTAAGCCTACACCTTGGTGCAGTCCCTTTGTCATCAATGCAACAGTCTTTTACTCTGTTAATTACCCTTAAGGCTCTTCTGTAAGTCTGATCCACCTTTGCATCACCTTTCTGAAGCTGTGGGTGCCAGACTGGAAAAAGAATGGCATTGTGGTAGGTTTACAGCAACATGCATACAGGCAATAAGTTAATGTCTATTTTCTTAAGGGAGATTTTTCTCATTGATAGCACTGAAAAATATATTAGATGGTGTCTCTAACAGTGGAAAGTAGGTTCAGTGGCTTTGCTAGATCTATACTGTAATTTCACTGAAAAGAGGAATATGTCCTTATATGTCATTATATGCCAGCTGGCAGCGAAAAACATTTGTGTGTGTCTTCTCCACTACCCTCTGTAAACATAAGCTTAAACATTTTTAAAATAGTAGATGCTGGTGAGTCCTTTCACATTTGTTCTATTGGTATACTTTCTACAGTGTTTACTTCTGACTTGTGTGAGAGCTAAACTTAGACCAAGACATAGAAACCCAGCACAGCACCCTGTTTATTGAGATGAACTCCCTGCTAGCCTGGTGTTCGATTTCTGTCCTCTTGCAGTACAGACAGTGTGGCTAAAGCCTGTGTTCAGTCCCTGGCTGGAGAAGGGGATGGGACAGGGACCTGATTCCTTGCAGGGTGACTTGAGTCATCATCACTTTCTGTGATGTGACTTTACCATGTATTGAAAAGAATGCGCCTAAAAAAGAAAGAAAAGCAGCAGTGTCATCATGCAGGGCAGAGGTGAGACCTCATCTACGATGTTAGCTATCATAGCACTGATCAGGCTGTAGTAGATGTGGGAGATGGCTCCAGGAATGATGTAGGGTTTGTTATGTAGGAAGAAATTAAAAGAGCTTAGTATGTTTTCCTTGGTAAAACAGGCCAGAGGAGGATATTTATGTTCTTGAAGATAGCTTGTTTCTCCTGCACCAAGTGTTCTTAATTTTACATGCATTTGGAGCCTGAAATTAAATTAGAGCCATGTTATACTTGTTAAAAGCAAAACAGACAAAGACCTTGGCGCCTGTAATTGGCACCAAAGCTGTTTATAGTAAGACCTGATTTCAGAGTATTTGGCATTGCAGGAGACACCAATAATATGTGTCCCATTACCACTTGCCTTTATTAATGGAGAATGAACAAATGCGAGGTTTTCTTGATAAATTAATGGGGTGTTTCTGCTGGCCTGAGGTATGCCATGTTAAATGTCCAAAAAAGCTTAGTTTTGTGTTTCTAATCAATATTTGTACAACTGTGTAAAAGACCTTTGCAGCATCTGCACTTTTGGACAAAAATCTTGCATGTAGATAGCTCTCACTTAAAACTACAGAAGCTGTACGTAGTTTGGAGGGAGTGGAAATGTTTCCCAGATTCCTCGAAAGAGGAGCTCTGTTCATTTAATAATTTTATCACAAAGGAGCAATCTTTTCAATGAGTTGGAAGGGAGGGGGTTCTGTCTGGTGTGAAAGGTTTTTTCTGATTCTTATACAGACACTTGGAGGATATTACACTTATTATGAACAAGTTTTAGCAATGCTTTTCATATGTAAAAATGTTCTTTTGTTATGTCCAGTGGATTTTACTGACAGTCTGTGAGCATTGCTTCTACTCTACCATTTCAATGGGCTAGGACAGATACCAATGAGTAGGGTGGGTCAGATTGATGCAGGTGATAAGAAAAAGAACTGTTGTCTGATATTGCTTGTTTAGGAATAAGTTATGTGTGTGTATGAGGTGAAGGAGGGAGGACCCTAGATAGAGTGGGAAAGGGGAGTATTTGCTTGCAGATTTTTTTCTCTCCATGTGAGAAGATTGAGGAAGAGTATGTTAGCTCTCGATGCCTGCAAAAGAAAACAACTCTGTAGTGAAGCTGCAGACTGAAGCATCTGCTTTGGAAGGGTTGTGTCTGTAGAGGTCAGAAGATTATGGCAGTTACAAAGTTCTTTTGTCAGCAGCAGATGGCTTGTTTTCACATCTCACAAAGGACTCATTGTCACATCTGGGTCTCACTGAGGTTAAAGTCTTTTATTTATTCCTAAAATCTTAATGAAAATATCAATGTACAATTGATTCCTCGAAGGAGTTCTCTCTCTTTGATCTTTCTACCTGAAGATCTATTGTAAGAGCCTGTCTGTTCTGCTACTGCTCCTGGTTTTGTCCAGGGAGCTTTTGGACCACTCGCCTGCATAAAATACAATTATCAGGCTGCTGAGCCTTGACAGGTTGTGTGCAGAAGAGCACTGGCTGCCCTTGTGCTGCCTTCAAAGTCTTTGAGAGCAATGCAGTTTTCCTCCTAGAGCTAGCTGCCATTCTGATAAACTGGGCTGGTTTCTTTTCTGATAGACTTTGGTCTAGTTTTTAAGATGCATCATTTAGAAGAAAAAAAGCCCCAGGGATTTTATTTGTCAAAGAGGTAAATATGTAGCATTGTCTTCAAATACTCTTCTAGTACCAGCGCCAACTCCTGAGTTGCTTAGCAAACTGAAGAAACGCTGGCTTAAAAGCCATTTTCTGTGCTTCCTATTGAGGATTGCCATTAGTAGTCTATTTTCTGTTTAAGTTATGGTGGGAAATGCATTATCAGTGGAAGGATCTTTCTGAAATAGTTGACTAAATAAAACTGCCTGAAAAGCTGTTTGCATCTGATTGTACATTGACTCTCACATTCTTGGGAATAGGAGCATCCACTTTGAACAAAATCCACGGGGCAGGAGTTCACAGAGCAAGTTGCAGTCGCACTCTGGGAAAGTTGGATGTTTGACCAGATTTAACTGCCTTTAGCCCATTGTGCTTGAATTACTTCCTAGAGAATTACATGTTTGTGTACAGTAAACTCCTGTGCAAATACCATGGTAATAACCAAAGGTACGGCGCCTGTTGAAAGCAGTGCCAGCTCTGGGAAATAGAAGGAATGTGGAGAGGCAGGAAAATGAAACAAAGATACTGGCTGTCATTGGGGGGTTCTTCTTTTGTGACTTATTTTCTAGCAGTATGATGAGGGAAGTGTGAGGGCAGGGCCTAGTGTGGAGGGGAAGACGGAGCTGTTTTTCTTCTTGTCCTGAAACGTATAGTAACAGTTTCAATAGTTATTCTGGGGCTCCTTCTTATAAGTGGTGCCATTGCTGAGATGCCAAATGTCTTGCTGTGTGAGATGACACATTAATTCTGAGTTTACTGGAGCAGGTTCTTTAGCTCTGTGCAGGTTGTTTTCCATGTGAGACCAAAAAGATCTCTTTGTACTTTCTATTCTCTTTTTGGGATTATTTTTCGTAATGGAGAGAAGCTGGAAGAATGTCTCCTTGGACCCTGTCAGGGATACCTTTGATGGTGTTCCAGAGGAAAGTGCCCTTGTCAGGGTACACAGATGTGTTCCTCAGCTCTGTCTCCCTTCATCTGGCTGGAAGCAGGGAGGTCCTGCTTTACCTCAGATTTTCTGATAGCCACCAGTGCAATCGCTATTAGCACCACCACCGCAGGCTGGGCGGAGAGCTTCTCAAAGACGAATGTGTCAAAATACAGATACTGTTTGTTTTAGCAGGGCAGTGGGTAAGAAATAAAGAGTAGAAAAGAGTGCAAATTCCTCTGCTTAATTGAATTATGTTATCACCACATAATGTTCTTTTAGTGCAGAAGGTTTTTGGTACGTAATACAGATTCAATCCTTTGTTTATTTTTAAATCCTTCATTTTTAAGAAATGTACCTATCTTAATCTGCCAGTTCTACTCATTAATTTTGAGAGTCAGCATCAATCTAATGCTCTTAGCTTTTGTTCTCGGCAAGTTACGCTGCCCAAGTTATTCTGGCCAGTTTTCATTCTCACAGCATGCTGGTTTTGAGAAGCAGCAAGTTCTTACATCTTCTTTTTTCATCATTTCCAAAGTCCTTATAAACCCAGCTTCCCCAGAAGACTTTGTTTATTCTTCAACTGTTGGCTCTTGTCTGGATAAGCCCTGATTCAAGCTCTCTTCTTTTTTTAAGTTCCCTAAACAACTCTCACGCAGGGCAGAAGTTCTGACCTGCCTTCTATCTGAGGATTGTTTCACCTGCTAGCAAATCCATGCTTCTGCCTGCCAGAACTGCTTGTCCCATGGCTGGTAACCACGCAAACACCTTGTCTACATTCCCAGCTGCTTGCTTCTGTCTGTAGACCTAGGCAAGCACCGTCATCAGCTCCAACTGTTTTTGTTCACCTTATATCATCTCTCGGCTCAGCTCCCATCTGCCAGGAACCGGAGTTTCATGTGAGTCAGGGAGGGCCAACCTGAACAAATGGCAGACTCCTGAACTACTGCTTTTGCAGACTGTAGCAATTGATCATGGAGTGCCTTTACCTCAGTGTGAATGCAATACAAAGGTGGTGAGGGATTTTTTATTGTTGTTGTTGTTCTATAAGTAATGTCATTTGTGCATATATTTAACTTATAATTTAATGGCTGCCACATTTAGGATTGTGGAACTAATAGCTAAGCATATTTATGAATAGTTGGAACTGAGGGGTTTCAGAAGAGAATTTGTCTTTTGCAAGCCAAGTCCTTTGCTGGTTACTTATTTATGCAGAACACCAAGCTTGCTTGCTACTTCAGACTAAAAGGCATATTCCAGGTCACACAACAGAAAATTAAATGCTTATTCTACAACTTCTGTGAGGGAAGAACTGATTCAGTACAAGCAGAATATGAACATTGCCTGCACTTTGTTCTTGTTTTGAAAAACTAACCAACCAAAAAATATCGGGGAATAAAGAGAGGGAGAAACCTTTTCCAAACATCTTAAATATTGCTTTGGATATTCTCAATAAATACCTTTTTGGTTTCCGTAGTTGTACAGTCAAAAACGATACAGGGAAATAAGCAGTTATTAAATAAAATGCTGACTGGGAAGTATTTAATTCCCCAGAAAATCAGGGAAGAGTACCGTTTGTCTTTATCTGGCATGTCAGCAGATATTTCCTCTATCTAAGCACCAGGTGGCATTGTTACTGTGATTATGATCAGAAGACATTATTTTCCATCTCACTCTTAAAAATTTCATCTTATATCAAGGTAACTACCAATACCGTCTTTTCTGAAATGCAGTTTTTAGTCTCTATGGAAAAAAAAAAATAAGCTTGACTAAAGCTTGCCTGAAGGTCATATTTTGTTGGTACCTACAGATGAAGACACTTTTCAGAACTTTTGTCAACTCCTTAGGTTTGTGGGCACAGTGTTAAGGCTAAGTATGCGTATGTATCATCCTGCGTTTAAATAATGTTTTGTTCTCTCTCTTCTTCCCCAATTACAATTTCATGTTCTTTTTTTCAGTTTCTCCTTGAGCAACGTATTTGCAGGGTTGATCATTTATGTTTTTATAACCTATCTTTTTAAGAATCATGTAAAAATTAATATTCTTGATCGTTATTTAATTATATATTTAAATAAGTATTACACACAACATTTCCACAGTCTGAGTGTTTTTTTTTTTTGTTTTTTTTTTAAGTTCTTCCTGTTGCTGCTATTTACAACAAATGTTTTTCCTGCTTTTTCTCTAGGTCCTGTCTGCAGCATATGCGTATCATCTTTTGGAGCAAGACCAGTAGCAATCTTCAGTGGCTTTATGGTGGCTGGTGGCCTTATGATGAGTAGTTTTGCACCTAACATATACTTCCTGTATCTTTCATACGGGATTGTTGTTGGTAAGAAAGAGCTCCCTTTTATATAGACATTTAGTCTTTATCATTCTTAGTCTTGCTTTACAAATCTGGAAGAGGAAGCTGATTCACATAGGCAGCTGTAGTCTGGGACTTCAGTTAGCAAGGATTATTTTGATTGGGGGAAGGGTCACACAGGCAGCCTGTTGCCATGTAGTAAATGTTTGTCAGAATTCAAAAACAATTTGTCCTCTGTTGAAGCAATTGTTAGAGGTGGAAAGACTCAGGTTTTACCTAAGGGATAGACTCAAGCAGTTCTTCAGTGGGCAGGAAGTGCTAATCTTAAAGGAATAAAATCTCTTCAGGAATTTTGTTATGTACTCATTCAAATTTGGTAAATTAAAGATAATTAAGGAGTGGTGTTGTTCTCCACATAACTGGATTGAACCTAATATGCTCAGGTATTAAGCATGAAAGTGCTGTTCTCCTGGCAGGGGGTGACCTATCTCTCCGCTGCAGAGGGCTGCTGTGGGTGGTTTATCAAATTGCAGATTAACTGTGTCAAGAATCCAGGCACCTCGCTGGCCAGCAGGACCCAGCAGGGCATGCTGGCTTGGGCATGGTGCCATGCAGACGAAGCTGTACTCTTTGCCAGGGCCAGCCCCAGGACTGAAAGCCATTTAACTGCTTCCATGTAGCACAGAACCTGAGCTGGTGAAATCCTCAAACCAAGCCAGCTCCATCTAGGTTCAGGAAATGGGACTGGCTGTGGGGAGAGAAGGGTGGGACAGTGCAGGCAGCCTAATGTCTCTGTCAGCGTGACCGGTGCTGAGCCAGATCTAAGGATATCCCTGTGTCTGGGGTACGCTGCTGTATCATATGGGGAGTAAATGGGGGCATTTATTTCCCAGAGTATGCTGCATGCTTCTTGCATCCCAAATCTTTATCCCAAATCTTTCTCCAGGGCTTGGATGTGGCCTTTTGTATACTGCAACGGTTACCATCACTTGCCAGTATTTTGACAAACGCAGAGGCCTTGCACTTGGTCTGATTTCAACAGGTATGATTTTTAATTGTTGTTCTCTCTATCAAACTTTTCAGTGCGGACACAGCTACCATTACTCTGGCAACGGTAAAACAGAATATTATGTTTTTCCGTTACTTCCCAAGTCAAAACATAGTAGCAATGTACTTCTCAAGTCAAAACATAGTAGCAATAATCATGTAACAGCAGGCTTCACATAAAATAGTAACTACATTTATAGGTGTATGGTGCAGGTTATCCATAATGATGAGAAAAGGAGGTTTACCAAAATGAAAGCAGATTATAAGTAGCTTGGGCTGTATGCCATGAGTAATGCCAGGGGAAACCTTCTGTAGAGCTCTCTTTGTACTTACACAAGATCACAGGTAAGAGAAAGTCTGGAGATACAGGATATAAGTGCTGGGTTACTGTAATCTCACAAAGCTCTGTCTGTTAAGGAGTAATTGAAGTTTGGGCTTTTCTTTTTTTTTTCTTCTTTCTTTTCTTACTTTCCAATATAAAAGGAGACTAATGTCTGAAATCTTCCAAAAGGTTATCTGAACTTTATGTCCGTGCATGTTACAAGGGTCCTAGAGGAATGAGCCTCTGATAATACAAGGGAAATTCTCTGAAGGATGCTGGACAGCCTTTCTCATCCTCTCTCTGGGTCTTTAGGTTGTGTGGTGTTGTCCTTTATACCAAAAGGAATTGCTAACTTAATGAACCAAGTCAGAATAGATATAGAAGCACGTTGTTCCACACCTGGCTTTCTGTGTTGTACAGTGTCTCTCATCCGATCCCTTTTCTCACATAGCTGTTATTAGAGAGAAGCTTGATCTATGTGGTCAATGTTGCAAAATATTAATACCTGATCCATACCAGCATATTGAAGGGGAACCTCTACAGAAGTGTCCATTAGAAATGTTTTCATTGACTTTTATTGGGTTTACAAGTGGTCTGCTGTAAGGCCTGATCTTATTGAGTCTTAGTTGATTTTAGTAGCTCAAAGATAAAACAAGTCTGAACTTTACAAGTTTCTTGTTGTGTTTTTAGCACTGAAGTATATGAATTGCTTTAATAAAACCTAGGGACAGTCTTCAGAAAATAATTTCAAATTAAAGATTGTCTTTAATTTGACTTGTAAAACCAATGCTCTGTATTCGTGAGTGGAGATCCATTGAATTATAATCCAATAGACTTCTGCTCGCTTCAGCCAAGAGCTTTTTCTTTACATTAGTAGGATTGCATAAAATGCTTGTACCTGTAGTAATTGCGTACCTTTCAATATTTTCTTCTGAATAGCCAAATTTTTCAAATGTGTGTTTGCATTTGGAGTCCCTGCAAGGCTTCAGAAATGCCTTTGGAGTAAATTCTCTTCTAAAATGTGAGCCACCCTCCCTAAACATCAAATAGTCACTTGCTGTTTGTAGGAGGGCTCTTGGTGAACCACTGGTCTGTTCTTGCCTTGGAGGAGGAAGGTGGCAGCAGTGAGGAGAAAGGGGAAAATAATCTTGGATGAAGTTCTAACTGTACTAACTCAAAATGGTACCTGAAGGAATATATGTATGTATGTGCATGGCAGAAGGATGGCTTAATTGTTTTTGATGTTTTTTGTCAGATAGAAAATGTATCCTACTTGTTTCTGAAGTGTCTGCTAGTGTTAATCATTATAAATTGTTCGGATATTTTGAAAAGCTTTTTATTTTGGGCATACTCAATAAAGACGGTTGTGCATTCTCACAAAGGTTTGTTAAATTCTCACGCCAGTTTGTTAAATTGGGAAGAGGAGCACTAATGACTCAGCATTCCTGGGACTGTGTTTTGTAGTTGCTGAAATGTGGCAAATTGTTATTAGAGAATGAAGTTCTCAGCTCTTCAGTTTAAACTGATCTTATTTTCATTTTGTAGGCTCAAGTGTTGGACTTTTTATATATGCGGCATTGCAAAGAGAGCTTATTGACCTGTATGGACTGGATGGTTGTTTGCTAATAGTTGGTGCACTGTCTCTAAATATATTAGCATGTGGCAGCCTAATGAGACCATTGGAGTCATCAGATTCCCCTTCACCAGAAAAATCATGTGTAGATGAAGTCCCAGACCAATGTTTTGTTTACCATGAAAAAGAAAAGACTGTTGAAGAAAACATAAGCATCCTTGAAAAGGGCTGTATTGCTGAGAAATGCGTTAACAATGTGCCTGATTTCAAACAAGATAACATTATAAATAAGAATGTATTAAGCTCAATAAATGTAAATGAGAAAGACACTTATAAAAAGAAAGTCGTGGAACAGACAAACTTCTGCAAGCAACTTGCCAAAAGAAAGTGGCAGCTCTATTTGAACTACTGGGAGGAAACCATTGTTCTTTTTAAGAACAAAGTATTTTCAGCTCTCTTTGTTGCCATCTTGCTCTTTGATATTGGTGGATTTCCTCCTTCCCTCCTCATGGAAGATGTAGCAAGAAGTGCAAACATTGATGAAGAAGACTATCATATGCCCCTTATTTCCATTATAGGCATTATGACTGCAGTTGGCAAACTTATTTTAGGAATACTGGCAGATTTTAAGTGGATTAACACTTTATATCTATATGTAATCACCTTACTAATGACAGGAGTGGCCTTGTTTGCAATTCCATTTGCCAAAAGTTACCTTACACTAGCAATGCTTTCTGGGATTTTGGGTTTTCTGACTGGGAACTGGTCAATTTTTCCATATGTAACAACGAAGACTGTGGGAATTGAGAAACTGACTCATGCATATGGGATATTGATGTTCTTTGCTGGACTTGGGAATAGCCTCGGACCACCAATTGTAGGTAAGGTCAAGTTAGATATTTTAAAATTAACAGAAAGAGCTGCCCACAGGCAAATTAATTCTAGTTGGTCCTAATTACGATGAAAAGATGAAGTCAAAATCTTAAAAATTAGATCCTATTTCTCTTGAACCAGGCAATCTGATTTTGTTCTGTTTTCATCTTTGATGAAAAGCACATTTTCATGTGTAAGTGGTCAAAGTGTGTATTAGATTTTGTCCTCTTTATTTAATGATGCTTTTCTAAATTATAGTGCTGTGTTTAGTTTAACTCCTCATTGATGCTCTTTCCTTTTATTTTCACCCTCAGGTTGGTTTTATGATTGGACACAAGAGTATGACACTGCATTCTACTTCAGTGGCTTTTGTGTTTTACTGGGAGGATTTCTTCTGCTGTTGGCAGCACTACCCTGCTGGAATGCCTGTACCACGCAGAGCTCAAAGCTGCCTCCAAATACTTACTCCTACAAAGTTGCATCTAGTGCTTAGGTGACAACTGGAAAACACTTCATGCTTTTTTTATATTATAGAGCAAAGTATTTTAGTAATTTTCCACTTATTTATGAAGTCCAAAAATCCTCATCCACTAGAAAAATTCCATTGCTGTTGGTGTTCCTTTTTTTCTTCCGTTTTTTCTTTTTTTAAGAACAGTCTTATTATGTCTACTATGCACTGTGTTTTCAGCCTTTGTCTACTGTAATTTCCTTTCGCCTGTAATGGGTATATTCTGCTGTATTATCAGCTGTACTGTTTTTTATAAGGGTTGGGTGGTGTGGAGGGGTGAAGACTTTGAAGCAAAAATGAAGGCCTGTTTCTTGTCCAAGAAGGTTCGCATTTCTGTCACCTTTTATAGGTCTCCAAGTTGCACAATCAGACTTTACAAAACATTAATTTGCCTTATGAGAATGTAATGCTGTGGCAAGGTGCTTATAACAACGTGTTTAGATTAACTTTTTGGACTTTTTAATGTTTCTCCAATTTTACGATGAAGTGCCAATTGGAGAGGGGAAGAAGAGGGAGAACAAAACCAACCTTGTGTTGTGTAGCTGAACTTCATGATGGAAGTAAAGATTCTTACTACCACTGCAACTAAGAACTGTTTATAAATATTGCACATTTTGTGAAGTCTGTTTATAACACTGTTGAACCAAAATCTTTTAAACCAAGGAATAAATATGATTGTTGAAACCACGTAAAGAAACGCTGACTTGGTTATGCAAGTTGAACATCTTTAGATTGGAGTTGGAGATATGCTCACAGAAGCCTGCAGGTGAGTGGTTCTAAGCAAGTTGCTGCAGTCTGGCAGTATGGGGTGCATCTCCCGTTGCACGGCTCCGGTTTAACTGGTTGAACCTGCTGCGGAGACCTTGTGCTTAGTCATAGAGCTTTAAATTTGATTGAATTTGGATTTGATTGAAAAAGGTAAAACGTGATAACTATATATTCTTTGTTATTTTTTGAATTGATTTAGCAAGGAGAGAAGCAAGTAAAAAGGATCAAGAAAAAGTGTGGTGAAGTGATAACAGAAGAGGTAAGGGACAAGCAGAGGTGGTGAGAGTTGGGACACTTGAACACCAAACAGGCTCTTTGTGAGCTCCTGAAGCTACTGCCCAGAAACTCTCTAGCTGCAGTCCAGCTCTGCGTGCCTGTGTTGTTTTTTCCCTTGAGTTTAGCCTGTACCCTGAGGTTGGCATGACTGGGGGGATGCTGCGTGAGGCTGAAGTCTTTCCTGAGCAAGGCAGGTGATACAAGGCAGGATGGCTCAGCTAGGTCTTCACTGCCCTGCAGGCCCTGGGCAGTAGCTGTTGCTTTGCTGCTACTCCCATGCTGAAGACGTGTCTGGTTGCTCTCATGTTGTAGTCATAGGAATCTCCTTTCCACTGGTGGCACATCCTGTGAGATTTGGCTTCTTGCTCTAGGACTGAACCTTACTGGAACGTGTTGGGAAATCTTGTATTGGGTGGAAGTTCTTAGACTTTCCTAATCTGCATACTGTACAGTTGTCTGCAGCTGTCCCAGCAGAACATACTACTTCTCAGCATTAGTATTGTCTTCAAGATGTCTGCTGTGACCTTGGCTCATAAACAACATGTAAGATAAAAAACAGATAAGAAATTAGCATCTTTTATTGTCTCAGTCCTATGAACAGAGTTACTGTTTTTGCAGAACTCATTAAGCAAGAGTGATATAACCTTTAAGTGGGGCAGACATACATGAAAGTTTTGTTCCCTTTTCTGACCCAAGTTGGGAAAAAGCAGGTTGTCTTAAGACATTTTCTGCTGTCTCTGGGACTCACTTATTTCTGTTTGTATTAAAGCCTGACAAAAATAACAATGTAGTTATTTGGCTTTGTATTTTTTCCTCCATGTATCATCTGGGTGTAACTACTGTGGTTTTTATTTCTTGGATCGCTTATTTAATGCACGTGGAAAAAATATCGAGCACTCAGTGTATGTAAAAATGCAACTCCAGTTCCAAATTGGTGTCCGGTGTATCTATGTGGATTTGCATCAGTTGTATGGCAGCTGTAGTCAGATTTCACCACATGCACACGAAAGTGGTACCATTTTACACATCTTAGAGAAACTGCTGTGGTATACTGGATATAATCAGAATGTGTGTGCCTGCAGATTAATATCTTTTAAAGTCTTTCCCTTCCTGCCAATGATGCATTCTTAGTACTTTAAATATGAAACTGTTATTACATCACTTGTCAGTTTTTGGAAAAAATCAGCTGCAATTAATGTTAATGATTGGGCAACATGTAGCACGGTTTTGCAGTGGAAATAATATCTATTATTAGACAGCTTGATGTGTTTGGAAATCTGACTAGTGATCTGTGACAGTTTGCTGATGTAACCCTACCCGTCAGGGAGGAAAGAGCACAGGCTGTGGAAAAACCTTATATTACCACTGCAGTCAGTATGTGTTAGGACTCCTAATCCTAACCAGCTGGTTGATTACAGTGACCATAATAATTGATAAACAAGACCAAGGATTTAATGCTTCGATTTTCACTTCTCCTCTAGTTTTGAGGGGGTTCATTTTCAAGAAGATGCTTCCAGGGTTGCCGCAACTTGAGTTTTGTATGAGAGCTTTCACTTTTTCTGTCTGGCAGGCTTCATTCAAATTGACAAATAGGCTCAAATGTTTTTTAGGAGAGGTACACCATGATTATCTATGCCTCATTTGTTTGATAACTACGTCATTAACATTGACAGGCTCTTAGGTGCAGGTAGATATACAGTTCTGCCATGTAGTATTTAATTCTGCATCCTTTTGAATCGTATAGTCCTTGACAAACAGCTCTAGAACAGGAGGAGTTAGAGGCTTAGATAATTATTCTTTATACTCTATTGTAGAAGAAAAAGTTATTGTTGCGTAAATTAATTAGTTGCTGTGGAGTCAGTCATGAATAGAACATTTATCTTATTTGCAGATCTTAACATTTATTGTAGTTACCAAAACATGAGAAAAATGAAACAGCTAAGTTTTATTAGATTTATAGGCTGTTATGTGCCTTGCTTAATTTGTAGTTTTTAAGGCTAGCTACAAAAATTGATTGCATTCCTTTGGTAGCTGTTAATTTGCCTACATCCTGCTGATACTGAATTCCAGCATCACATACTGCCATTGAACAATTTGCTGAATAAGGGCTATGAATCTTGTACTATGAAAATTGGCTGAGATGTTTGCACTGGATTATACTGACATTGCAGTGTTTTTGACTTGAAAGATATTTCATGCGAGGCTCTTCGGAAGAGCAAGTCTAGTGTATGTGTTGGCCTGAGTATTATGCTGGTAAAACATAAATGATACAAAAACTGGACAGATATGTCAAAGGAAGTGGCAAAAGCTTCTTTCTAGTTTGAAATATAATTCCTCAGATTCAAAGGACTATTTCAGTGATGTTTTGCTGCAGACTCAATTAATTATGCTGAAGAGCCAAGTTGGACTTGTCAGCTATCTTACCAGAAGATTCTCGGTCAGAGCTAAAACCAAGTATGCAGCTCTCTTGACTTTTTCTGCCCACAGGCGCTCAAGACTTCATTTAGTGAGGAATGGGAGTCTTGAGCATGTGAAGATGACAGATCATTTGGCTCTAGGGTCTCACTACAGAGTGTTTTTCCCCTACTTCTGTCATTGCAGACTGAGAGTCTAACCTCTTACCTTTTTGTGGTGTCACAGTTCATGTCGAAAGTAAACATGTTTTCTATCATTAACAGTAATGAGTAGATGTTGCTGAGTAACAAGACGAAAGCCTGCCCACCTGTTCTGTAAATGGCCAGTGCTCAGACCAACTCTATACTTACAGATCATATCTAGATTATGTACTTTTTTTCTGTGGTTATAACTTTAAATTGTGTTAACATGAAATGCACATCAGGTTGCGTTAGGTCATGCTGCCTTCTGTTGGAATCAAATTACTTTGCTGTTTAGTTAAAATGGCCCTGGGTTAGAGTGGCTCTTGCCCCGCTTTGCATTACTTAGGGGGTGCCCTTGTAAATTGGGATAACTGAAATCTTCTGCCATGTTTTGAATTAAAATAAAACCATGTATGAGGGCAAGGGTTCAAAGAAATGCTTTTGTTATTTATTCTTTGTTCCAAATGAAACAGGTTTATTTGGAAGTGCTGTGAAGGGAATAAGAGACAAAAGAATTATATTTGTGAGAGTGGGCTTGACAGTCTGGTGTCTCCCTAGGCACTATCAATTGTAATAATAGAATTAAGTAGTCAGCTGTTTTGTGTGTATGGTTGGCTGTTCTGGCTACCAAAAACAGAGGAAGAGAGATGGGGAAGAGGGAATTCCCACTGAGCACACCACATAAAGTGGTGCTTCAGAAATCGGAGGCTTGGATTTGTCTGTGACAGACTGGATTACTGAAAACAGGGTTATGTCATCTTGGCTGGAACTGGGAAGGCTAACAGAGCTGCTGCTACCATTTCAGTTTTTTGGAGGAAAGATGTCACATCAGAGGGTCTTCCACCTTTTTCAGATTTTCTCTAATATTGATCAAGAACAAGAATCACAAGACTACAGAAGACAGAGGTGCTAAAATCCATACAGAGCAACTCAGTTGAATCAATATTGAATCACTGAGGACCAAAGTTGTTGAAATTGTGTGCTGTTGGAGAAATACAGATAAAAATCTACCTCTGCCTGACTTTTATATGTGCTTGTGCAGTGCTCATGCATGGTGCAAGAGGATGCTGAAGTCTCCGCTTACCGTATTCCTCTTTTCTTTTTTCAGTCCTCACCTCAGATGTTGTGCAAGCTAGATGCAGAGAACAGGCAAGGACTAACCATGTTTTATTTCTTCACAGCTCTTCAAAGATTTCTTCAAAGAGGTAATAATGTGTTGGAACTGTATTATTTCTGCAAAATGGCACTGTGTAGCGCCAGAGATAATTACTCCAACTAGAGATTCGTAGCCCATTTTTTCTGATCTTCATTCAAAACAAAGAGAAATGAGGCAGCCACCAGCAAATACCAATGAAATTTACATGAAAAGAAAAAGTTTTATTTTACTTTTCTGATCAAGCCCCTATTCCCATGACTCTCTTTTCTTTGTGCATGTGTGTACTGCACCAGGTAGCAGGTTGAATATATTTGCATTTCTGGCAGGGATGGTAAGACTCTAGGGATGGAGGGTGTTGTTTCTTCCCATCACATATTTCTTCGTGTCTTTTCCAGTAAGAAATAGTGTAGGCACTGGCATATGAACTGAAATAAGGAGTGGTGGTAAGACTCTAGTTGCAGAATAGCCCTTGCACCTTTCCTCAGCTTTTACCAGACAGCCTTTACGGAATACAATTACTACTTCCCAGATAGTTTGAATATACTTTTCCTCTCAAATTTACCATCTGTGTCAAAGTTTGGGATTTGCTTTCACACAGTTAATTCCCTGAATGGAGAATTCAGTTATCAGCCTTATGCATATTTATTTTGAACTTAATATTATAGACTAAAACGTTTTTAAAATAATTTGTAAGTCCTGAAAAGAGCTTTACTTCTTTCATTACCTACAGCTGTTTTTCCTGATGTTCCTGCTCTTTAGGAGCAAGAGCAAGACAGTGCCTTTAGATAATGAAGCAATATTGAATTTTGAATGCTGACTTGTTTTTCCTGGAACAGCATCAAGAAAATTAAGAGGTTTAGGTGCCAGATTGAGATTAGAGGAAGAAAATGAAATTCAAAACAGGAAGCAGAGAGCGGCAGGCTCCAACTCACCTTCATGCCATTTCCCCCCAAGTGGTGAAGAACGTTGACAGCAATTGACCTGTCACATGCCAGGTACTTGTGGTTCTGCAATACCTCCAAAGAAACACGCGCTTATCTGTATGGTTTTTCAAAGCCTTTAAAAGAAAGCTGATGCTGAAGAGTTTAGGTGGGGGAGGTGAGCTGGGGAAGCAAGCAAGCAGTCCTAACACGTGCCTCCTGCTGTTTTGTTGGACAGTTCTCCACATGCCTGTAGTTCAGCTGCTGGAAATAGGCTCTGCTGAGCCACTGCAGGACACCAACACATCCACTGCCAGAGATGGGTGCAGATAGAGGGAAGCAACTGCAAACTTGCCAGGTGGGTTAATGTAGTGCTGCGTCTACAGTAATAAATAGCCTTGCCGTGACTCAGGAGATATTTGCTGAGGCACAGCACTGGAGTGGTTTGTGCCTGGCTGATAGAGAAGGGGGCAGTTCTGTTGTGCTTGGCCTCACTGTGCAGACATGCCCGCCTTTGCCCCAAGCATCCGCATCCTGAGGAGACCACCCAACCAGGTGTGAGCAGAAATAAAGCTGTTAGAGGGGACACTGCTGGCAGCTGATGAGCTGGCTTGTCAGGAGGAACTGTGGCCTGTGTACTCCCCCATAAGCACACTGAATGCAATGCATGTAGCAACAAGGAAGAGCTACATTCTTGTCAGGACAGCAAATTTTCCTTTCTGATGATTTGGCTTGGTGAGTAGACATGCTTCGTAGTCAAAATACTGTGATGGGGGATATGCAGCAACCATCCTTTATGTCTGTACTAACACTTTTGGTTTATTTCTCCGCAGCTAAGTTGTGGAGAAATATATTGTATATTGATACAGTAGTGATTAAAATAGAAATAGCATTTTTTTCATGCCTCAGATCTTGCCAATGATTACCTAATATGTGTATTTTCCTCCCCTACATACTTCTGTGTTGGTTGTCATTAATATATCAATTTTTTTCTTTTGTTTGAGAGATCCAGTGTAGTTTCTCCTTTAGCTCCATCTACTTACCTTTGAAATGTGTGATTTTTCATAATGTACTCATTTTTCAGTTTCAAGTGGTTCATGATGAATTGGGATAATATAGGCGAATGCTGTGTGGCAAGGGTGGCAATGAAAACTGCTTTGGAAGCCTGTAAGACAGATTTATCTGATGAAAACTCATCTGTGTATATCTGGCCCTGAATGTTTTCTGTGATCATTCAGGGATACTTTTATGGGGCAAGGACACTGGAGTCATCAAGCCTGAGATGGTGTAACTGTTGCATCATAACACTTCTAGCAAGGGTTCATGCTGTTCCCAAAATATTACATAAAGAAGGGAAAAATGCATTCCTGAACTGGATAGTTCTGAAGATTTTGAGCCAAGGAGTAGACTGTAATTTTTCTTTTTTCCTTCTGTTCAGGCAAATCACTAGGGCCTTTCAGCATTTCTAGTCATACTTGCTGAAGCTCTCAGCTGTAAGAGATCAGCACACACTGCTGGATGCTGCCATGATTTTGTGTGCCTGTCATGGTATATTATCCTATTTTTAAAAAGCTGTATGAATTGCAAAGTCAGAGCAATAGTGTCCCCATGTATGCAAGTGAGTTTTCTGAGATCCCTACCCAAAACAAACTGTGGTAAAAAGGGCCAAACAGACCATGTTGGAGTCCTGCATCCCCTACTTACACCATCAGCTTCTTGTGCTCCCTCCTCACAGTGTCTTTCCACCTCCCTCGGCTCACACTTGGTCTAACATGGGGCTTACAGCTGTGGGGTTGCAGCCTGGGTGCATGTGCTGATTTGCAAGCAGTGTGACCAAAACACAAGCATTCTTAGGTGGACAGTGCTTCCCATGAGAAACATATAGTATTGATCCTTAATTGGCATTGCCTAAGTACCCTTGAAAAGCTGCTGTAGAAATTGTTACTAGCTAATGAGGATCATGTCATGGAAGTACAGGCTAACAGCTGTGGTCAGGTTGAATTTCTTTGGTTCATGTCAAGCTTTATGTGTTTATTTTTGAACCCCATGGTTCTCCTCTGATCCTGAGCATCCGATGCTCAAAGCCTGTGGTTTGCAAGCTACGCTTCAGCTGGGACCAGCCATGCTCCCTCCCTTGTGTTTACTTCTAACCCAGAGCCACCGCGGCCTCTCCAGCTGGACCCAAGCCATGGCAGGGAAAGTGGCATGGCAGGACTGCCTGAGCTGCATCCCCACTGCGGCCTCCCCGCAGGCATGCGTTCTGGCTTGGCGGCTCTTGCCCACCAAGAAGGGCTTTCTTTCCTTTTTGTCTGGCTGCTTTGAGACTCCTGAAGCTGAGATGTGGATTACTAGATCAGCAGAACAGGCTGCTTGCAGTTGTGAAAGAAAACTGAAATGAAGCATAAAACTTAAGTTAGTTATTGTTCTTGCTGCTATCGTTTTGTTTGTTTTTACTGCTGCTGACAGTGGATTTACCACAGCTACCTCTGCCCTCTCCCATAGGGATCCTGTTGTTTCTAATGCTTCTTTTAAAAAAAAAAAAAATCTAAGGAAGAAAATGAAACTTTTATGTTTTCCTTTTATATTTATTGTTGTATATTTATTTTTCCTCTATCTTATCAAGAAATTAGCAGGCCTCAAAAGCCAGCCCTGTTAGTAGTTGGAGGCCATACCCCCGCAGAAGACTACCAAAGCAACCCTTGATGTTTCCCCAGCCTCCTTGCACCACCCAGGCCAGGGCACTGACTTTTCTCACAAGCCTTCCTCTGGGTAGCAGGGTGTTAGGAGACCAAAAGTTTTGGTTTTAATTTAGAGATGGCCCTTGAAGTCAGGGTGGCTTCCTAGGGTACCACACGTCACAATCATGCAGCCAAAGTCCTGCAGAAATTCACTGTGATCAGAGGTTGTAAAGCAAGGGTTTGAACTGCAGCTGCATGGTATAAGCAGTTACATGTTTTATTTCTCTGTCACTTCTGCTCTTCGTACAACAGCAACACATGGAGAAATCTCTCTGAACTGTGTTACTTTGCATGGAAGGAGAATTCTGCCCAGGGCTTAGATCTCCTTGCTGTGTTTGCAGCAAGGGTTGCAGGACCACCTCTGCAGCATGCCTCGTGTGCCCTCTAGCTGCTGCAGGCTTTCTTCAGAACCAAAATATCTTTCCATTTTATGTAAGCCTCACTGCATTTTGTTTTGAACTCAGCAGGCAAGCCTTGGAAACAAAGCCTTGAGTAATTGCAGTTAGAGGAGCAGCAGAGACCAAGTGGCCGATTGTAGTCACTGCTGGCTTGTTTGTGCTGCTACTGCTGTGGTGATTCAATAGAAAAAAAAAAAGTGCTTTCTGCTCAGGCAGGAAATTTGTTGCTTTAAAAGGTATTTGCTTAGAGTTTGCACGTTCAGCTGAAGCAGGGGGGAACAAGGTGTCAGCAGGACGATTCTTATGAAATCTAGTAAGAAGGGAGTGGAAGCATACTATGTGGTAGGGAGCAAAGAATTGGGGGTATTTTTTATATTTTTTTTGAACAGGGTTAGTGTGAGATATTTTATGTAGAGAGCAAATTGCTGCCAGCCTTCAGACACAGTTAGCTGGAGAGCTGGTGGCTCTGCTTTTGTCTGTCCCAAAGGGTGCTGGGGGTACGGCACCATCAGCCTTGGTGCTGCCTGTGGGCCCAGTGCCTTTGAACCAGCTTACCTATGAAGTGGGTAATTTCACAGGATGGCTGTGCTGGAGGGGTCAGGGCAGGGTTGGGCAGCTGCAGCTGTGGCGATGGGCCCAGGAGGAATATGTCTGTGGTGAGAAAGCTGGGTTGCTCAGCTGTGTGCACCACAGCAAGTAGCCATTACAGATTCACTCCCACTCTTGTAGTTCTGGGGGAGACTGGGTTGCTGGGTAAGGTGGCATCAGCCCTCTGTGCAGAGCAGGTGAGGGGGCTGTGGGTGACGGTGGTGGCAAGGAGAAGGCTGTGGCTTTGTGTGCAGCCCAGGGTGGCACAAGAGGCAGGAGGGAGTTGAGATGATGGTGGGCCGTAGGTCTGCATGTGGCTGTTTCCTTTACACCTGTCTTCTGAGCTCTTTCCTTCGTCATGCCCATATCCTCCTCCATCACACTGGCACAATCAAAGCCTGCATTTTTGGTGCTGGAGGGAAGTCCAGATAATGCCTGCTAAGTTCTGTGCAACATCTGCCTGGCAGGAGAGTCTGGCATCCTGTGGGCCTGGAGGAAAAAAAAAAAAAAAAAAAAAAAAAAGCTAAAAAAAAAAAAAGCTGGAATACCCAGATCTGGAGTATGCAGAGAGGGCAGTGAGAAATTTTTGTCAAAATGTGAACCCTGCTTAGTATGCATTTGGGGGTATACTTGCCACACCTGGGGGTAAAGGTGGTGGTGGGCATGTACTAATAGGAAAGCAAGGCCCTCACCTGTGTGCACTCTCATCTCACTCCAGCTGGGCAAGAAAACCTCAGATCATAAGGCAAGAAATCCTTAAACAAAGCTTTTCCAGATTTCATTGGGATATCATGTGGAGAGGTAAGTGAGCTAAAAATCTGTATTATTTTCTAACTGGTATTCACTCTACTAAGGTACCATCTGTGTTGAACCATCACGGTGGTGTGCTGACAGAGTAACTCCTGTTGTAGTACACTACCATGGGAGTTTCTCTAAGCTACTGTATTTTTAAAAAATGTATCCATTAGAAAACTGTCTGAATTTGAGTTAAGAATCTGTTACATTTAATTGCAACATTAACTGCTTAACTGCTTTGTTGTGGTTTACTTAGTAGGAGAGGCTTTACATCTGAAAGAATTGTAACAGAAGTATCTACATCTTAACAGTATCTACATCTTCTGGATATCAAAATCTGGCTGGATCCTTCCTCCTATGTTTGCCAAAATGTTTGTGCAGGTGTTATATAATTACATATTTATACCACTTGTGTACTGTGGGCCACCTCAACATATTGGACTTACCACTGGTGGCAGGCAGCGTGGACAGCGGGTAATATGAATAATTTAAAACCTGCATTGAAAGAAGCTGCTCAAAACTACATATCAAATGTGCGATCTGTGTGCTTTCAGGAAGCTGTGCCATTGTGTTGCAGTGCTATGGAAACATCTCTTGATGGTAACACATAGTGAACTTTTGCAATATGACTCGGGTGGCAAGTGTTGGCTACAAAAAAATTCCTTCCTTCTCAGCTAGGAGTTACGTTCTACCTGGGACAGACTCCGGAGTGAAACTGCTGATTATGATGATACTTAGCAATTATACTACGATAAGTTAATTACAGAGGAACAGTCCAATGGCTGTGGTTTGCTTTGGCTGGAATGCATTAATTTATAATGGGAAGAAAGGTGATGGCATCTTCTGAGCAGCACAGGTGAAATACTGATATTCTCCTGCGGTCTAATATGGGCGCAAGCGCTTCCTTTTCAATTTGTGTAAGTGAATTTAAATCTGGCTTCTTGAGTCTCTCCCATGTCTTGAATTATTTTCTCAACCCAACTGTTGCATCTGAAGGGGTTAAGAAGAGGTATTTACATTAAAATATTAGATGTGTTAGAAATCTCTATTTTAAAAATCTTACATCTTGTATTTTAAAACATTTTTGTATTTTTTTAAAACTTTTTTTTTAGGCAACTATTAATGCTTTAGCATTATTATCAAGTTCTAAGCTTGCTTATGTATTGAAAGAGCAGAATAAGGTTTAAATTTTTCAGTCTGTGTGTGTGTTTGTGTGCATTTGCCATGGTAACAAGGCTGAATACAGCCAAGTCAAGTTCTGGCTTGTGGTGTTGTTGAAGGTGTGCATTTTATGAGCTGAAAAACAGCTTTTTCTATAGCAATTCAGCTACAAATTGGTAGGAAAGTCTTTCCTTTTTCCAGAAGGAAATGTAGTAATAAAAACATTGAAGGTTAGTTTTAGAGTATGTTGGGATGGGGCTACAAAAAATTAGAATCTGCCTTTAAAATGAAGTATGTATATTGTTTAAATCTTCATAACGCAGAACTGGTACGAGCATTTAAATCTGGTATCTCACAGTTGGACTTCTGCTTTCATTGTGTTGTGTAAAATGTCCGACTCTTTAAATATGAGCCCTCTTGTATGCGACTGTGAATATACCTGACTGATAATAAGTAAATACAACTTTCAGGGCTTTAAGTTAAGCTTGTCACTTGTGGCCACCTAGATTTGAATGCAGAAATAGTAAGAGTCTTGTGGAGCTCAAAATGGTTGCTGCTGTGACATGTTGCTCTTCTCAGCAGCCAGTTTTGAAGGAGGTCCTGCTTTTAGGGCCTCACATGATATCTAAACCTACTGCTCATGTCCTTTCACGTTCTTCTGTATTTTAAACTTCCTTGTTGAATCTCTGGCTGGCCTTTATCATTAGATCATTCTTTATTTGTGAGTTATGTACAAAAGTTTTATGTGCTTCAGTGTGGAAACTGCAACGAACGTGTTAGCTCAACATCTGACTTAATAGACAGGCTGAATGCCTCTGTGTCACTGCTCGGCAACGCTTTTCAAACACAAGCTGTATTTGGATTTTTACAGCTAAAGAGTTTACAGCAAACAGTACCAGAAATCAGAGAATTCAGTTCTGGAAGCAGTAGTCTAGACTTGGATGTGCATTTGAAAAAATTATGGCAAATTAAAAGTCTTTTCAATTTAAGCAAAAAGACATAAGCTGCTGCTTGCTCTGGGAGTAGTCTTCTTTCATGACTTTTGTATTATAAATAGGCCTTTCTGTCGATAAAACTTTGCAAATGCCTCAGCCACAGGGTAAAATGCCTGCAGGCTGTCCCCTCCCCATGCCGCCAGCCCCTGAGGGGTTCCGCTGAGCCCTCAGGTGTGGCCACCAGAACTTTCCGGAACCTTCCAGAGGCGGTGGGGGCAGCCCCGCCCTCTCCTCACAGAGTCCCTCAGCCAGCACCATTTTCCTCGTACTCTCAGCCCTGGGTGGCCTCTGCCTCCTCACAAGACAGAAAAAAACAGCTCCTGAGTGCATTTTGTTCATGATTTCTTCTGTATGTTTTTGCATCGGTTATCAGGGTAAGAAAAAAGAAAAACCTGATGAGCAGAGGCGGGAAATCTTTACCGGGTTTGTGCTGAGGTTGCTGCTTAAATTCCTCTTCTGGCATCATTAATCTTGCCTTTTTTTTTTTTTTTTCTTTTCTAAATTTTCTTGGTGAATTGGGCAGGTGGGATGAGAAAGCTGTGCCCTAGCACTAGTCAGCTCTTTTTGGGGAAGGGGTTTAGCAGCCCCTGGCTGTCTTAAACAGGGCACCTGCCTTGACCTGGACGCCTGTCGCCTCACGGTTTTTGTGCACAGCGTTGTCTGCCTCTTAACACACGCAGTTTCTATAATTGCATTTCAAAAAAAAAGTTTCACTTTGTGGATGGTCCAGACGCATTAGTGTGTGTGTATATGTGAAGTAAATGTATCATGGTTTGGAGGTCTAGAGGTTTTAACAGAGCAGCCTGCTGTCCCTGGGCCTGAGCAGGCCTGGGATGCCAGCTGCACGGAAGGGCTGGGATTGTGCGGAGGGCAAAGCCAAGCCTCTGTGGTCACAGCTTGTGGTTCTTTGGTGCTGGAGGTGGGGGATCTGTTGAGATCTGGATTTTAGACTTGAAGGGACTGTAGCTATGTATAGGTTTTGTTAGGATTTACTGCATTGTAGGTTCTGTCTTATCTCTACGGAAGAAGGATATTAGGGTTTTAGGACATGCAGCGGAGGTAAAATATGTATGAGGATGCCTTAATGAGGACGATAATTGAACCTAATGTGTAAACCCTTGAACTTTAATTTAAAAAAAAAAAGTGTGTGTGAAAACCTGCTTTTTCTTATTGCTTATCTGTTTTTATTCCCCAGAAATCATTATCATCTGTTCAAGTGAGGCACACAACAAATAAAGTCTCACCAGATCCACAGATTGACAGAGAAAGAAGAACATTTGGTGTTCCTCTGGAAGCTCTCATACAGGATGCAACACAATGTGGAGTCCCTTTTCTCGTCACACAGATGGTGGAGTACCTAGAAGTATTTGGTAAGTTCATGTTTTGTCTGCTCAGGCCTGTTGTTTTTTGTTTAAGCAGTGCTTTTCAGCTGTAACTACTCAGCAGTTTTGTGGTCTATATTTACAATTACTGTGCTTTTGTAGAGGAGCTCTTGCTTTTTGAGATCCACTTCTCTTCACACAGGTATGATAACGCAACTGTTGCTTACTGTTTCATATTTCTTCTTGGGCAGGTTTGCAGCATGTTGGTATATTTCGAATCAGTGGTTCAGTGAATAAAGTCAAAGAATTGAAGCAAAAGTACAATCAAGGAGAAAAGGTAGACCTCATTAATCATGGAGATGTTGATTCTGTAGCCAGCCTTCTGAAACTGTTTCTAAAAGAACTGCCAGTGGCTGTTTTTCCAGACAATGTCTGTGGTGGCCTGCTAAAAACTTTCCAAGGTACGGAATGGATACTTTCCAAACTTCTGTCCTTTCTCTGACAGTGAATGATACTGTGTTCATAGCACCTTTGTAGTAAGCAGTGGTTTCAGTTTCCTTGACCCTTGACTGATGTTTAATTGCTTTTAATGGACCAGTCTTCCATGAAAGTGTCTGTTTTTTTAATTCATTAAAGCTTTTGGTCACGATATCCTATGGCAAGGCATTCTGCAATCCAGTCATCTGATCTGCATTATTTGAGAATGATCCTTTGTATGTTTTCTTTTAAAATTTGGTGCATTACTACTTACTGAGATACCATTTTTATTTTTAATCTAATCACCATCATAATGCTGTTCATGCATTTATGATGGTGATTAGATTAATCCTGCCTCACTCCTCTCTTTTCCAAGTGTCGTGTTAAAGGGGTGTAGCTGATTAACCGTTACGGGCCCGGTTGGATTCAGAGTACTGAACCAGTCGGACATTCACCAAAACTGGGGGTCCGTTCGGACATTCACCAAAAACGCAGTAACCACCTGGGGGTCCGCTCAGACATTCACCAAAAACGTATTAACCACCTGGGGGTCCGCTCAGACATTCACCAACAATGCATTAACCGTCTGGGGGTCTGGTTAGATTCAGAACACTGAACTATCACGGATAACCACCCTCACCCTAGTTGCATTAATGAGAGCTATCACAATGCAATCAAGTATGGTTTATTACAGCAACAGATAATCAGGTTCTTTTGGATTGCCGGTGATAGTGACTATCTGCAAAAGCAAGCTAGTATGCATGAAATACACAGGGGTTCTAGGTGCGGGTTCTAGGTGCGGGTTCTAGGTGCGGGTTCTAGGTGCGGGTTCTAGGTGCGGGTTCTAGGTGCGGGTTCTAGGTGCGGGTTCTAGGTGCGGGTTCTAGGTGCGGGTTCTAGGTGCGGGTTCTAGGTGCGGGTTCTAGGTGCGGGTTCTAGGTGTTCTAGGTGTTCTAGGTGTTCTAGGTGTTCTAGGTGTTCTAGGTGTTCTAGGTGTTCTAGGTGTTCTAGGTGTTCTAGGTGTTCTAGGTGTTACAGGTGCGCAGCCTAGAAATAAACGCGTTAAAAGGAGCAAAGACTCTATAGAGATTTATAAGCAAATATTCAGATCTCACCCAAAGGCGTCCCAATGGGGGGGGAAGAGAGGCTCAGCCCGTCGACTGATCCCAGGAGTCAGGAGGTCCTAAGGATGTTGTATGTCCTTGGGATGGTATCTCCCCTGACGATGGTATCTTCCCTAACATCCCCTCTCTCTTGGGCCAATTTATATTATTTTCTGTCTTCTAGGTGGAGCTTGAGTGGCTCTAGTCAAGCATATCTTAGTTATGATTGGTGTAAAGTTTTCCCGTTTCCGTTTAAAGTAATAGGCTCCGAGAAATTCAGAGCGCATGCTCAGTGAGGGGTGGTCGCACCTTGGAGGCGGGTAGCTTTTGGGATGGAGGTGTGTTTTGGTATTATAATGATATTATAATGAGCAAAAAGTACACTAGGGTACAGCATTTGTCAAAACATGACAGGTCTTTGGCTTAGGGTGGCAAAAAGTGCAGCTTTGTGCACAAGAACAATCGAGGCCCCACCTGATTACAGAGCCTAGCCGTGGTGTCTCCACTCCACTCTACGCTCCGTGGTGTTCCTTAGAGCTAGCACACCAAGTTTCCCCAGCGCGATAGCATCTAAGGTTGGGAGCCTAGGGAATGCTCAGATAATGCAGTTATGCCCTACCCTGAAAGCCTTTTCAATGCTGTACCTTTTCCTTAAAAGTGTGAATGTTAGTTTTATTTTCCTAGTTACTTCAGGCATTTACACCACACCAAGCTGTGGCCTCCTTCTCTATTTCACCTTCTTTTATACAGGAGCCTTTCCATTCCCTGTTCTTATTTAGTACTTCTTACTAGTTTTCCTATTGTTTTATTGTCAACAGTGAGTGGAATGGCATGAAGTGTTTACATCTCAAAGCCAGAATGAGTACCTATAGCAATATGCTGACTTAGTTCCCTGTTCTTGTCTATAGTTCTTAATTGTGTAAAATCAAATAAAACCCCACCACTGATGGTTGAGCTAATGCTTTCAGACAATTAGGCCAAGTGATTTTGAGTGATAACTAATTCAGGTGTTTGCATACAGATAAGTGGGTTTTGCAGGTTAGACTGCAGGCTGCTCTTGTTCAAACTTCATCTGCTGGATTCTGAGTTATGTACACGTTTACAAAAAAAGAAAGCAGCAACAACAACAACCAAATCCCGTTCATCAGATCTGAAAACTGTATGCTGAAAGATCCTTCTACAGAATTTTGCAATCACCTTATTTTGACTACCCTGAATAGTATTGCTGAAATCCTCTTTTTTTTTTTTTTTTTTTTTTTTTTTTATTTTATTTTCTCCCTCCTTCCCTCCCATTTTCATTAATATGTTGAGCAACATGAGTCTTGACCTTCATGGAATGTGTTTTTTAGGGCTAGAATTGCCCTTTTGGATGTGATTTGCTATTCATAATGTTGAAGCTATGCAGATGTGTCCTATCCTGGAGATCTATGGCAAATTTGAGCATCAACTGCCAGTTACTTAGCAGTACAGCTATCTCAGTTCTAATATCCAGGAGAGTTTATCATACTAATTTTGAACTGCTGGTCAAATAGAGTTGTTTGTGAAGCCATTTTTTGCCTTGTAACTCTTCTTTGAAGAATGGGAATCAAGGAAATGCAAAGTATTCCCAATTTGGGTTTTTAAGCATCTCCTGTGTAACTACAGTTGCATACTTATAGAGCAAAAATGTTTTGAGACTGAGAGCTACCAATTAGTCAGGAAACGGAGATGATGCAGTGCTGAAAGGGTACAATTTCTTATTCCTTGTAATGAGAATCATACAGCGTGTGTCAAATCTCTGTGGAGAATCAAGGCTGATAATCTTTTAACATCTTTAAAGGCAGCTTTAAGGATTCACAGAAGTGTCTACTGCCCATAACTCCATTAAAAAGTAGCAAGTACTTTTGTCCTAACAGGAAGAATGGCAAAACCAGAGTATACAAAAACCCAGTATTTGGAAAATCCACAGTACTTAAATATTTAATATGTGAAAATAGTTTTCCAAATTTAGGGTAGAAATTCTTCATGTAGAACATACATTAGAGCAAAATAAAGAGTAAATATTTTAAAACCATCCCTCTTTCTCAGATCTATAATAGTATCTATGATGAAATCATATTATTAGGACCATCTAATAATAAATCTAATAAATCGTCTAATAAATGGAATAACTTTTTTTTTTCTTTTTTACAGAGCACAAAATCCACACAACAGAATGCATAAAGAATCTGAGACAGTTACTCAGCTGCTTGCCTGAAGCCCATCAAAACCTTCTGCAGTTCCTGTCTGCTTTTCTGTTAAAGATAGCAACATACAGTGCAGTGAATTTCATGACTCTGGAAAACCTAGCCGTTGTGTTTGGACCTGCTCTTTTCAAGTGAGTACTCCGTATCTATTTACCTGTCTTAAACAGCACTACTTGATCATGCTTTAAAACAAGGCTTCCCATCATAATTGTGCATCCAATCTAAGTACAGCATTTTGAAAGTTAAATGTTATGTGCAATATTAAGGGCTAATGTGAACAGTTTCTGATCAGGCTGACCAACCAGTCTCTGTTAGGTTGGCTCTTTACAGACAGGGCCTCAAGTAAGAAACAATCTAAAAAGAAGAGGTATGAGGGCTAGAGAGCTGTTCAGTGAGAATTACTTCTGTTTTCCTGCCCAAGCTATGTATGGGCTGTAGAGGCTACTTAGAGAGAGCACAGATTCAGAAACACTAAGACTGATTTTGACCTTGTAATTGCATTTGATATCGGAGAAGGGAATCTCCTCTACCAAAGTAGAGGAATAATTCATTCTATCCTTTGCGGAAAGTTTTGGATATACTGGTGCCACTAAAATGCACATGGAAATGTGAACAGAGGCCAGCTGAGCTTGCAAGAGGTAAGTACAGAAGCTGGTGAAGGTGTGTTTGGGATGATGGAGCGTGGACACTTACCTGGATGCTAAAAAAGAAAGTTGGGAGACCATGTCAGGTAAGTCCAGGTGGTGAGAGGAAACCACCTAGAATGGTGTGACAGTGGATTTTCCAAAGAAACTGAAATGTTTTAGTGCTTCATCCTGTTTGTCACACTGATACAGAAATGTGATAGTGCTCATGCCTATCTGAGGATTTGTAAACCTTTGTTTCAGTGGATCAGTCTAGCTGGATGTAAACTACAAGCGAATTACCAATTTGCAAAATTTAAGCATTAACAATCAGTGTTTTCTATACAGTAACAAACACCTTGTTGTTTTCCACTTTTTTTGGTGTATGTTTCAAGCTGAGTAAGTTTTTAAAAGGATAAATTCAGCAAAATTGGTACCACTTATATTAGAAATTAATGACAGGCTTTGTTTTGGGAAACTGTGCTAATAAACCTTGCTGCTGTTTTCAGAGGGTTCTGTTTGTGTCTGCTGAACTGCTCTGTAGGCTTATCACCAGATGTACCAGCTTATAGCCTTCGCAGGTGATATGAGTAAAAGGAACCTTACTTTTTAGCAAAAGTACAGCTGGAGAGATGAACCTAACAGTGTGCAGTGTGACAGGACTTACACCGTTCTCTCCTGTGAGAGTAGGTTTCACTATGGAGGATATTCAGTTGTAGAACAGAGCAGTTGCACAATAAAAACCCTTAACATCTGCATGCTGAAATCAGTAAATGAGTGCAGACAGATGAGCTTTACTCCTGACAATATGCATGACAATACTTATAAACAGGTAAAAGGCTAACACTAAAAAGCCTTCATCAAAAATCCAGCCCTTAGACCTATGCTATCTCAAGGACTGCACTGACTGTCACTCTCCTGACATTAGACCCCTTCACCATCACATCAAGCTTGGGTGCATGCATGCACACAAGTATACTTTATTACTTCTGGTTTCAAATTCTCTGAATGTATGCCCGCTGATTTCTGAATCTACACAGAAAATTCAAGTGGACTCCCCTTTTGATTGATGAACTATTTTGTTTTTTAAGTACCCCAGCCTGTTTTGGGAGATCATCTAGCTACTTCTGAATATGCACCTCTGTTTTTTTTGTTTTGTTTTGTTTTTGTTTAAGAGTACACTTAGTGCTAAACTAAATATTTGTGTCAAGTGACCTGTCTGAGAAGCCTTGGAAACAATCTCTGCCAGTTATTTGTCAAGACCACACAGCTACCATAAATAAAAGTTAAAATTACCTTATGAACATTCACTCCAGCTTTATGTAATCATTCTGAGCTCACCATCTCTGGGAGAGAAAAAAAACAGTAAGTCTGAAACTCATTTTTTGTAAAGTGTGTAAGTAGTGCTGTCCGTGGAGAGTGACTTTCTGGAATTATGAATAATCACCTTTCTAATAAATGGGTGGAGAGGAGAACCTTGCAACTGTCATTTTCATTTGATGAGATTGTTGTACCCCTTGCTTCTGAGTGACCCAAGGCCTCCAAGACTCAGAACAAACCAGTTGTATTTTCCTTTATAAGAGAAAAATTAAAGTCTGATGTTGAGGACAATTCTGGTTCTAATCTGCAGAAATGTATACCCTGTGCCACTGTTGGAAGTAACCTATTACTTCTTGGATGTACTATTAACTACAGTTATGGTGCTAACTCACTGCAGGTGTTAACTGTTCTGCATGCGTTCTGGTACTTGCCTTTTTTTATGCAGTTACTTCCTCCTGCCTTTGCTTTGGGTTGTTTATAAACCTTTCCACTTAAAATTTTCATCTATTTATATTCAAGTGTAAATTCTCTCTGCGATTATCACCTGTCTCAATCTTTTGACGCTTTATTTGTGGAGACCTGTCATGTTCATAGTTTCACTGAAGTAACTGAGCTTGAATATAAAGTAGTTGGAATATGGAACACATGGACCTTGGGGACACAAAATTAGAATATAAAACTCACTGCTGATTGCACCTTACTAACCTAAACTGCCTGTGCTTCACAGTTAGCAAATACACTAATTGCAAATAGCAAATAGAAGCCTTAGCACAGGTATTACGTTGGAAGCCTGGTTACAGCATCACAGAAAACCTCCTATTGCCGTGAATTTTAAATGCTAAGAAAAATAGTATCACTGTCTAAAAACTAAATTTTAAATATGTCCCTTCTATATTTTTAATCTGTTACAACGCCCTTAATTTACTGCTTCTTGTTTTGAATATTTGACTGAAATCACCTTCATACAGGAATTATTCTGTTATAGTAGTAGTAATATATATGCTTCCTGTCCCTGTTCAGAGTGATGGGACCCAAAACATGATGAAGAAAAGATGGTATGTTTCAGAAAAAATGTAACTTAGTAAAACTCTTTATTTTTATCTCAGTCTCCTTTGCAAACCACCTCCTTCTGGTTTCTTCTACTGACTTTTCTCCTTTGTGCTGTTTTTCACCCGTGAGACTGTCTTCACCACTATGAGCTTGTTCCACCAGCATCTTTCAGATTGCTTTGCTCTTAGATTTGGAACCTGGCATCTGTTTCTTATCTTCTAACACTTCAGTCTTACTATCTGCATTATGGAGCTTTCACATCCTAACTTCCTTGTAGGTGAAGGAACCACAAACATAGCTCGTAGGTGAAGTGTCAGGCTGGCTGCTCCCTAGACTTCCTGTGCTAAGATGTACTCTTCTGTCACCTACTGGTGAATTCTTTCTGCTCATCCTCTGAATTATTTATTTCTGTTGCCATGCCTCCTCCTGCTTGTGAGCTGTATCATGTCCTGCAAGTCTCTCTAAGTGCTGAGGAGAAAGCGTTGCTTTTATTAGAGATCTGACCAATGTTGCTTAGATTTCTACAGGTACAATTTTATTTATACCTTCTCTTGGGAAAGAGATTTCTGCTGTTAACCTCAGTAAGCAATTCTTGAGTGTGCACATAAGGATGCTAGCCAGGTATCTGTTTACATCTACTCACTTTTGATTCATTCTTCCTGTTAATTTACAGAAAGTCTAATACACAAGCCTCTGCCAGCAAGGAACTTTTGCAGATCTGAATGCAACCAAGGCAAAGCACTGTACGGCTTTTCTAGCTTGCACTTTGTGGCAAAGCAACTTTGAAAGATTTAGGCTCTCTCAAGGAAACCATAGTTGATTCCTGATCGTCAAGATTCAGTTGTTTCTTATTTGTTAGTGTTCTCCTGTATTTGATTTGTACTACAATTGATTACAGGGTTTTTATGGTGAAATGCAGAATATACTTCAGTAGCTATGCTTTTCCTAGGAATGTATTCCTGGATTCAGCATTGTGTGAACACTGCTCCCCTATTGTCAGCCTAATTACAGGATTTCTGCTAGAAGCAGAAGTATCTGAAGAGGCAGGAAATGTTTGTTTTACAGAATTAATTGAAGCTTGGTGAGGAAGGTGGCTTCAGAGGAAACTAGAAATGTACTTTCTATATTTGGAATACCCATATGTTGCCACCCGTGAGTATTTGCAGATGAACAGATATTGATATTTGGAGTCAGCTGTAGGGTCACATCCTAGAGTACAGCTTTGTTTTGTGTTAAGCTGACTTGAGAACTGAGCAGCCAAAACATAGGCTGCTACTAAGGGAAAGTGAGCCCCGGTAAATACAGAGAGAGCTGTTTATCTTCAGGAACAACTTGCAGAGAGTGCCTTGCTAGCAGGGAGTTAGCAGTTGGTAGGGATGAATTAGAGAACAAATCTTTAAGTTAAAGAAGATTTAAAAAAAAAAAAAGAAAAAATTACTTGTATGGCTTATGAGTTGAGGGTGTTAATGCCGGAAAGGCTGTTGCTCAGTTAACCAGGTGTAAAAGCCATGCTTGATTTTATTTATTTATTTACTTATGAGAAATTGAGTCTGTCCTGAGAAGAGAAGGAATCCAAGATGGAGAATTGTTACTCAGTCCTGAAAAAGAATTGATGACACAGCAGTTTATCCTGTAAATCTAGGTCATACCTGTCTATAACTCTTCTTAAACCATTCTTTTTTAAAAGGAGCCCAAACTTGAGTTCTCACAGAAACAAATGTAGACTTACAAAATGAGAAAGTGAATGAAAGCACTTGAACTGGACCCAGTGCATATATTTGTACTTTAAAATTGCAAATGAAGAATGAACATACTGATTTAGCAAACAGAAGACTGGTGCGTGTATATGTCTCCTCTTTAGTCTCCAGAGTTCATTAACTGTTTAATTTTTAATATTGTGTTGGGTGGACCTGAGTTGATGCAGCATTTCTGGGGAAGCTGGAATAGGTGACAAAATTCATATGCAAATGTCCTCCAAGCCTCCAGATGGTTCACAGGGGGAATACGCAGTCCCTTCACAGAATGAGATGAATCTCTTTATTTTGATTAAATGATTCTGATTTAGTCTACTTGTACGGATAGTACAAATCAAGCTACTACTTGTTAAAAAAGGAAAAAAAATCTGCTAAGGGAAGCATGGAAGTTCCACTGCATGTGACCTGAAGTCTGTGAAATTACAAATTATTACACTGTAACAGTTTCTTATCTATGTTTATTTCAAGGCAGTTCTGGTAATAAGATATTGTTCCAGTCTTCAAAGTTCACCCTCAGAAGCTAAGCTGGAACAGCAAAACAACTCTTCCAGTCCCTGTGCCGCTGAGTGGTGGAGTGGTGGCAGGTTGGCAGGCTTCTTTTTTTTTTTTTTTTTTTTTTTTTTTTGTCTTCATCTTTGCTTTTGTGAACTTCATGGCAGACTGCCAGGTTCTAGCTATTTTGTTGCACTGCTTCAAAGATTCAATGGGATGTGAACCAGTGTAGCATTTTGCGGTTCTGTCACTGTGGGGTTCCCAATGTTGTGACCCCCACCAAGTGGAGATGATTTTTGTCTCAACAATTGCTGGTTGGAAATGAGCCCGGAACACTGTTTTATCCAGTTGCCTGGCTGGCTGCATTGGTGAATTATCTCGGGCACAAGGGGGGTACTTGCATCGCTAGCCCCTGGTATGAGAGCTCCAAAACTGAATCCATTTGTTCTTCCCTTAGGATCCCTGTCAGTCCCTTGGCTTGTGAAGAACAAAGGCTTTACAACGGCCTCCTGCTGTATTTGCTTCAACACCATGAGAAGCTTTTTGTTGATCTGAACCCTGGTTTCTCACCAAGTCAAGCAGATGATCTTCAGGTAAGAAAGTTACATTAATTCATTCAGCAAGGAATCCAAAGTGCTTCATTAGGTTGTAACCTACAAATGGAAATATATTTGCTTATGCATAGTGTGAGTACTGACTGACTATACCTCGTTGCCAGCAGCCTAAATATTCATTGTATGCCCAAGCTAGAGGGGAAGCATAAGTCTTTAAATTTGAGATTATGGAAGAAAGAAAAAAAAAAAAGGCAAATGTAAAAGTAAAAGGTCAAGAAAAAAATACTAACTTTTTCCACTTTAGATATTTTAATGTGGAACTTTGTTAGACCAAAGCTACTGATTGTTTTCTCAAGTGAAACACTTCTTACTGCACTACTGTATGTGGACGATGCAGAAGAGCAAAATCAGAAGGGTGAACCCCCTCTCATCTTTTTCTGAAAATGCTGAGTATGTTTCACTTTTTTCTTGGGTATGTTCTTTTCTAAAACAATGTTAGTACTTTTCTTTGTTTGTTTTATTTGTCAAAAAATCTCCTAGTGGAAGAAGCATGATAGACTACCGCTGCTTTAGGGAGAGGGTCAATGTAAGTCTTGTTTTCAGGATGTGATGTATCATTGCTGCTTAACTGCTTAACTTGAAATTGATTTTTAGAAAAGGACTTGAGGGGAACGTAGTAACAAGACCTGCAGTCTAATACTTTACGATGAAGTTATACTACACATCCTTGCAGTTGAGATTGATGGAAGTGTGCCAGATCAGGTGAAGGATTATGAAAAAGACTTGCATTGCATGTAATTATAGCTCATGCTGCTCAAGTATCTTCAAGTTTCTTCAAGTATCTCTGTTTAAAAAAAAAAAAAAAAAAAAGGGAAACTTATAAAGTCAAATAGTGTATTTAGAGCATATTATATATCCCAAAGCAGAATAATGGGACTGTTGTGCTCCTTGGGACCTCTCTTTAAAAAGTTTTTCTTAAAATCCTGTTCAGATGTAGATACAGAGAACAGAAGACACTGATGTAAGGATGTTTATGAAATATTCATCCTGTGATATAGGACATGGTCCCAGATCTAAAACTGGGGTCGTTTGACACAGAGACTATGTTGGAGCCCACACCTCTACTTTTTCTCACATGTCTTAGGCCACTACCATCTTTGGGGATTCCTGCAAATGAGTATGCAAGACCAAAATGTTAGGAATCCAATTATATAATGTTTCTGTTCACAAAACTAGGCCGATTAAAAAGCATCAGCAACTAAAGGAGATTGGAAAGGTATTAGAAAAGCCCAAAGTCAGGCCTTCTGGCTTTCTATTGCAATACTTTTGTTTTAAAAGCAATTTCGTTCCCTCTAATTCTGCAAAAATGTCACAGTCTGTTTGAGATTGTGGTGATGTGGGAAAGAATTCTGCTGGAAAAATCCTTTCAAGTTCTTTAATAAAACCCCAGACAAGGCATAGCCATGAGGCACTCTCCTACTCTGAGGTAAGCTTATGAAAGAAATCCCATCTATGGTGAGAAGGGAATTCGGTATTCTGTGGTTGATCTTGTTTTTGTAATTTCTGGCAGGAAATCCAGCACATTGGATAGGTACTCTTCATCTTTCATAATGTAACAATTGCTGAAAGTCCACTAAATGAGAAACATCAAAGTTAGGCTTACAAACTAAACATATTCAACGTGCATGAACTAGTTCCAGCAAAGCAAGCAGAAAGTGAAATGGCAAGCCTGGCTCAGATCCCTTGTTGCTTCCTGGAAATTAAACTTGCTTTTATTGGCTGTTTCTCATGAAATAACTTGAAGCAGTAACGCTGATACTTGCATTTGGACTACTTAATTCAGGAGGTTTTTTCGTTGTTGGGGTGCTTTTTTTCATTATTTTTTTTTCACTTCAATTTTATATGCCACCATAATTAATTGAGCTTGAACAAATAAAAGTCATACTGATCTGGCAAGCATGCTGACATAAGCTTAATAGGCAGCTGTGTAGTTTGTAGCCTGAGATGAACACGACCGATTGTTCCTGATCATAGCTCTTAGGATACCTAGAAGTGCCAGGAGTCATCCCACCTACTCTACCTCTGTAGGCTGATTCAGGCTGGCTGCTTGGGGAGAAGAATTTGCAGATTTTAGAAAGTTGCCTGTCTAATAGATCAGAACTAGTATCCCAGGCTGGCTAGGAGACTGTTCATACCCACCTATTCAATCTAAAGACAGTTGTTTAAAAGATGCTTACAAGCTACTGTGTGGCTTTAGTTTGTCCTTTTTCCTGACCGTTGCTGTAATGACAATGTAAGGCTTTAAAATCCTGCCGGTGGTGGTGTTTGTGTGGTGTGTGGTTTTAGTTGTTTTTTAAATCCTAATAGCCATTAGCATTTAAAGCTGTTCTGTAGTCTTCTGTCCTAGCTCACAGACTGTACTGGTACTGAGCTGATTTCCCTGTTTGGTTTAAATCACTTTTTAAAAAGAGGTTAGACACTGTAATGTTTTTTTTGACCTGGGGTCTCTCTAGACAACTCTGTTTAACCTGAAGCATATTGCTAGCTGTGTTGGAGGTGTACAAGATTACACTATAGAAGTTAAGCTAATTAAATTATGATCCAAACCTTTTTAATAGCAATTTGTCATGCTGTTTGCCCTCATCATTTCTGAATCTTATGTTCTGGTTTAAAAAATGGTTACAGAACTCTTCACATCTAGTCTTGGAGTATTTTTTTCGTATCTCCTTTCTGTACAGAATGCTTCTTGAATTAAGTACTCTGCCTTTGCTTTACAAACAGAGAAGCGTGACTTTTGGTGTGTGTGCAAGCCACTGCATCCCGTCAAACCATAGGATTAATTGGGGGAAAAAAGCCTACACCTTGAGGAAATAACTCTCATTTCTTGTTTTCTCTTCTTTGTCCTTTATGTGTGCTTCACCTTATGTTGGCAAGGCTGCAGGGACTCTTAATTGGTTTCCATGTAGCTTCTGCTTGCAATAATGGAACCCCCTTGTAAAGGGATTGCAGAGGTTCAGGTGGCTGGGGAAGGGGAACAGGGCACTCTCCTAGACCTGCAGAAAGACCGCAGACACATCAGAGTGGATTTCTGAAACTATGCAGTGTGGTTAGGAGTTGGTTGGGATCACTGGAGCTAAATATTTTATGAAGGCTATCTATTTGAATTGTTTTTTTGTTTTGTTTTGTTTTTTTGGGAAGTGTTTTGTGGTCTAGGGAGTTTTGTCAGTATCGGACTTTTAGCCTTTTTTTCAAAGAGGGAGGAGATGTTTCAGCATTAACCCATTTCTTTAAAAAAATAAAAATAATAATAAAAAGAACTGGTGCCTCACTTTCATCTGAAGTTGCCATAAAAAATTGTCGTTACCCTGATAAACTGCCCTCAATTTCAAGGACAGCTAATAACTCAACTGATGTTTTCCTTTGATAATCCCATAACAGTGCTTTTGAAATCAGTTGAAACCTTTCAAAAACAGAACAAACATGATCTTATGATACAGTAAACTCAAATTTCTAGGTTAGACTAAAGTGTCTTGTTGATGAAATTCTTCTTGTGTAGAGGAACATAGTTCCAATTTCTATTTGTGGCTTTTAGCACTTTTCCCTTACTCTAAATTGGTAGAGATTTCAATTTTTTTCTTTCACTTAAGTTCTTTCCTTAGTAAAGGTAACTTCCAGTTGCACTTAGGTGTGAACATAGTGAGTCCTGTGTGTGCCACCTGAATTTTCATGAGTTTTGTCAATACTTCTGTAGGGATTGCTGTTACATTATAGAGAGATTTCTTTATACTGCTTCCCATCCCACAGAAAAAGTGTTTCCCTACCTTTGTAAATTTAGCAAAAGTATGGACTTGTTAAACATTAAGTTCTAATTTTGTATTTGGGAACTGTGGATAAAAAAATACCTTGGGGATCAGAGCAGGACCTGGATCTCCACAAAAACTGTGGGCCGTAGATTGTCAGGATGTATTTTTTTTCTTCTGGATAAACTGGGAAGCATATATTACTGACTACAGGCATAAGGGTTTGATAAAGAGCACTGTACTAGGCAACTGTGACTTAAAACAGCCCAAGTGGATGTGGCTGGAGTATTCATTACTCATTCCAGGTCTTCAGTGCCAGAGCCCTTCTGTCTATAGGTGAGGGGAATAGGGCATGGAGAGAGTGAGGAGCTATTTCTGAGCAGTGCCTGTGATCTGCAGCAGACCTGCTGTATAGTGGACATCTGAAACTCTGAAACAACAAGAGTGCCTGGTCTCCAGTTTTAGCCTGCAGGATGTGGAGGTAATGTCATTCATATATTTAATGTTTGCTCCAGCATTTCTGAGGCGTTCTCCTGACCTGCTGCGTGTGTGGTGTGGGATTTTGCTGTCATGCTTGTAACCCTTTCTGTGACTTAATTCATTTTGCTGGTCACCTCCCTCCTACCCACATTATCTACATTGTTGTTTTTTTTTTACTTTTCACTTCTCTTCTGGCTGGTAAAGTTGCACCAGGAGAGAATGTCAGCAGGCGAAGGTGTGTTATGTGGGCCATGAAGCATGCTGTCAGCGGTGCTTTACTGTAACAAGCAGTTGGGACATGTAAGAAGGAAGCTGGCCAAACTGATGGCCTGTGCTTCTTTAGTGCAATCAACAACACAATAATAGAGCTCCAGTGTTCACATTGGCTGATAACACCGGTCACTGCCTGTCATTCAGTAATGGCAGGAAGTGTGTGAGAGAAGTTTTCTAAAATTGACACATGCCTTTCCTGACTTGGAAAAACATTTTGAAGGTGTTCTGCTGCGCAGAAACAAACTAAGCAGTAGTAAAGACTCACCTTTGTTACCTCTTAGTCTGTGAAGGCCTACTTTAAGTTTTGTTGTGAACAGAGCATTTTAAAAACCCCTACCATAGTCAAACTCACAGAATTCATGTTGATTACAGATTAAGGAGTCTTAGTGCAATTCCTACCTGATGTGTTCAGAGTGGCAGCTGGTTGCTATGCTTACTAAGGTGTCAGCCACACTACAAGGAAGAGGATTATAATTAATCAGATAG